TAAATCTACGACTTTAGGGGTGCCTGGGTGACTGTCAGTTAAGCGTCCAACTCTTGGTTTTGGTTCAGGTCATGAAATCTAGCCCCCCACTGGGCTCTGCACTCAGCGGAATCTCTGCTTGAGATCCTCTCCCTTTGCCCCCTGGCCCCTCCCCCAGCTCGCTGGCTTGCTCTCTCTCAGATAAATAAACAAACCTACCACTTTATTTTTGTGCTGGAAGCCCCTTTTCTTATTCTACATTTTCCCTTTCTCCTAGTTTCACAGTTCTTTCCTCTAATTTTATTTTTGAATGGGTATCCTTCAAACTGCAACATGAAAACTTTAAAAACTAATCAGTATCTTTTTCCTAGACACAAAAATACCCTTAAATACTATTCATTTAATTGCTCTCTCCAAGTCTGTGTTAATGTTATGTTAAATCTGTAAGACACTGTTTTATACAGTTAATATTTAGATTTATTCACTATCTCTTGCTTTGCTCTGCAGTGCTTTCTATATACCTGGCATCTTTGCAATTTCCTTTGATGCGGCTTTCCTAAGTTACAATTTCTCTCATTATATTTCACCCTCTTACTTGAAAGACATTTTGCAAAGCATACAATTATAGGTTGATAGTTATTTTCCCTATATTAATACTATCATTCCAGTGTCTGTTGCATTCAACTGTTTACTGTTGGAAAGTCAGCTGTCAGCTGTGCACTCTCCTACCTTTAAATGTAATCTGCCTTTTTTTTCCTGGCTGCTCTACTCTGATACCACTCCTCAATTCAGAAAAAGTGCCAGCTATTACCTCTTAAAATACTGACTTTGGCCCCTTTTCTCTAATCTTTCCTTCTGAAATTCTGATTAAAAGTCTATTTTAGACCATTTTTATCACTCCATATTCCACATTTCTTGCCTTTTTAAACCTTTTCTCGAAATAAAAAGCTATAAAATCCAGATGTTAAATTCTACAACTTGATTTGAAATGTAGTAAATAATAGCAGACTCTCCAAAATATCATTACATACCCTTTCATATATTCTTTGCCTCTCTGTGCCTCTCTGTACTGATTTCTGAGTAGTTTCTTGTAAGCTGTCTTCTGATTTACTGATTCTCTAATTGTATCTAATCTGCTAGTAATCCCCTTAATTGATTAATTTAATTAACTATTTTTACTTGCAGAGATTCTAGGAATGTTACTGTTTAGAACTACTTCCCTGCACATATTGTTTTCTTAAACACAGTTAACAGTTATTCCATATTCTGTTTAATAATTCCATTATCTAAATTATTTCAGGGTATGGTTTTGCTCATTCTCACATGTAGTACCATATTTCCTTGTTTGATTATTAATTTTGTGTGAATTGCTCACGTTCCTTTTAAGATAATTTGGGTAAATTATTCAAGGTCTAGGATAAAAGTGAACATCCTCACAAAGGAGCTATGTTGGCTTCTGCTAGGTTTCTGGGAAATTAACAGGTCATAATCACTTTAAATTCATGACTAGTGGTCACATCATCTAGATACTATGAATTTAAGTTGCATGATTATAAATTCTAAGCCATTTTTTTTTCTTCTTAGTCTGTTCAGCACAACTAGGGAAATTTCTCTGTAGTCCCATGGAGGAGTAGGTGAGAAAGCGCTAGTTAAGTTCTCTTTCACTTAAGGTGTATTTCTTTTAGGTACCAACTTAATAGAAGACTCGCTCAAATCCCCAACTTTGGCTGAGCCATAGGTTTGTGCCTTTTCCCCCTTTATTTTTGGGGGACTTCTGGAATGCTGAATTCCTCAAATTCCCCAAATTCCAAAATGGTCTCCAGGGCAACACTGGGTTCAATACTCCACTTCTCTATGGCTTTATTCTGGTAATAACTTACCTTGCCAATCTTCAAGGACTTTAAGATGTTTGTCATCTATAAAAAGGCCATTTGAGTTGTTTTCAGCAGTAAGAAACACGGCAGAAACAGAAAGCCTATACTCTAGTGCAGTTCAATATAACTTCTGGATCCAGCAAAAAATCCTTTTGCAAAGTCAGAAAAGATCACTAAACTAACCTATTGATTTGGCATTCTTTTCATTTACATCTAACTCAATCTGTTCAGTCCCTGACACATCTGATTATTCTTTCCTCTTGAAGTCGGTTTTTGGCTTCTACAGTACCACTTCCTATTACAATTCCTAAGTGATGATTCCTCAGGGCTCAGATCTGGGTTTTCTTATTTCAACATTTCCTCTGCTACCAAGTTACCTTAAATTATCAATACCCATTCTCCTAGACTACTTTAATAGCTTCCCAAGGGGATTTCTTCTGCCACTCTTGTACCTATCTAATCCATTCTCCACCATAATAACCAGAGTTATCTTTTAAATACAAAAATTAGGGTGGCTCAGCTGGTTAAGCATCAAAAATTAGGGTGGCTCAGCTGGTTAAGCATCTGGCTCTTGGTTTCCACTCAAGTCATGAACTAAGGGTCATGAGATCGAGCGCCATGTCGGGCTCCACACTCAGTGTGGAGTCAACTGGAGATTTTCTCTCTCTCTCTCTCCCTCTTCCTCTGCTCCTCCCCCCAACCCCCGCTCACTCTCTCTCTAAAATCAAATCTTAAAAAAAAAAATAGAAAAAATAAAAAGAAAAATTAGATTAAGCCCTGTTGCCTGTGTAAAACCCTCCAAGGTACTTTATTTGAACTTTAGAAAAATTCCAAACTATTTATCACGGCCCACAAAACCATGTATGATCAGACTTCTGCCTATATGCTGCCATAACTGTCCTTATATAATAATACTATAAACAAATGGACTTGTTTTTTCAGTCCTTAAAATACACCAAATTCTTTCTTCCCACAGATCCTTGCCACTTGCTGTTTCCTCTTCCTAGAATATGGTTTACCTGGTTTTTGCAGGGTTTAATCTTACTCATACTTCAGATCTCACTATAACTGACTTTCTCACAGGCATTCATTCCCTGACAACCCAACCCAGAAGCATCCTGTTCTTTTCCTTTAGCACACTTATTATAATTTGTAATTTGTGATTAAGTATTTACTGTGGGTTTATTTTAATGTCTGTCCTCCCAACTACTTGTAAGAACCAAGCATGTAGAGACCCTACTGTTATCTTCCTATTCCATGCCCAGGACCTAGCAAAATGTCTGGCTCATAGTAGGAGTTTAACAAATATATATTAAATCATTGTTTTCTTTCCCTTTAAGCAGACCCACAGGAAAAGTACAATTCGAATCAGAAACTACATGTTGAACACAGAATTAGAAAAAAGGGGAATAAGTCAGGTGATAAGAATGTACATACGAATCAGGCTAAAATACAATATACTTATGAACAGACCCATAATGCTTAAGAGTCATATAGCCAAGATTACTTTCCCCTAATGTTTCATGGTTAAGTGGTCAGATGCTGGTTTTTAATTAACTCAATACATGGCTTTTCCTTATTGTTGTCTACACTTTAGTTAAAGCAAATAATCACCTACAAATATGTTTCTCAAGATGGCCTGAAAGTTCATTATTTGGAACTCAAAAAATTTCCCCATAGAACCAATATTATATACATCGGTTAGCTTTTTGTTGGTTAGTTCATAATGTTTAATCCATTATTCACTTATCCATTTAATGAATATGAATTGAGTGCTACTATGTGCCAGGAACTATTCTAGCAGTGGAGATAACAGCAGTGTACAAAATAAGGCAAAAATTCCTATCTTCACAGATCTTATATCCATGTGATCAAAACAGAAAAGAAGTGCAATATACAGAATGGTAGATGGTGAAGAACAAAGCAGGGTAGAGAGATAGGGAATGGAGGGAGTGTAATTTTAACCTATTATTAAATTTATTTCTAGCTCTTTCTAGTCCAAAAGGATTTAAGTTAGAGATTACTTATAGAACCTAAGTATCACATACAAAATAACCATGCTTAAACAAGGAAAGATTTTAAACCAAGAAACTATAAAAACATACTTCCTTTTCACAGTAGGACAGAGAAAACTATTCAGGCCCTTAAGTTACAGACAAGCTACAATAACCTGAGGCATGGTCTCCAAAAAGGCAATGGTTAGAGAAGGTAAGGGGGTGAGGGTGAATGCACTGATGGAAATTCCAGAAAGAAAAAGAAATGAAGAGCAAAAAAGGAAAGCATACTTCTTGCTAATGATACCAACCTCCATGGACAGCCAGTCCCTTCGATTTCAATCTCTAGTTGGCAGACTTTTTTCCTACAACTGTTAAACTATTTCTGACCAAGATCTCTCCTCTATTTGGCATAGTATAGTTACACAACTTTCCCCTCATTATTCTATCCCAAAAACAAATATTTAACTTTTTTTAATGGCAGAAAAAGATTCCCTTAGTCTCTATCTTTATCATTAAAATTCATATCAAAGGAATGCAGATAGCCAGTAGAATACTCTGGTTCTCTCATATTTTACCCTCAAAACTAGGATAGGTATTCAGGATGTGGGGTCAAATTCAAGAAGATAAAAAACTGGAACAAGGTTTCAAAGAGCACCCCTAATACCACAGTAATGATTGGACAAGGAGAGACAATCAGCCATTTTAATCATCTATCCTTGTCCACAACCATAAAGCATGCACCATAGACTAAGGAGAGAACAATGGAAGGGAACAACAAAAGTAACCCTTCTCTAAAACCCTACTCATTTAGCTGCGGTGATTATAGGCCAGGGTAAGGAATGAGCATATAAACTAAGCTTGTCCATTAACTTCAGGTTTTTTTCTTCTTATTAGAAAGCGCCTTATTATTTTCACCTGAAAAAAGGGTTTTAGTAAATGAGTGCTAATTTTTTGTAATTATGCATTTCACTGTCATTTTAATAAAATTATTTCTCAGGTTGTGACTATCAGACATATTCTGGGAATTTTTCAAAATTAAATTTATTTATATTCAAAATTTAATAAAATAAAGCCTCAAGTTTAGGAAAATACAGGGAGCAACATAATAAAAAAACTAGTATCAGCAGAAATGTTACCCAGAAAATATTACCTTTATGGCTGTGTGTTTGTTTTCATCTTCCTCCATCCACAGATCCTGTTCATAGTAATATAAGCCATCATTAATGACTTTAGCAAGTTCAGATGTAATTTTTGCCCGAGACATGTGGTTGCCTGTTCGATCTCCTCCAGGATGTTTTCTCATGTAAGGTGGTGTCTGAGTTACAATCAAAATCTTGTTTAAATCCTGGTCATCAATTTCATAATCTGAATCATTATCAGACCAATCAGTAAATGTGTTCTTTCGTCCTATTTGTTCTATCTCTTCATCAAATAAAAAATCAAGTTCTTCTTGCTCTTGTTCATCTGAAGGATACAGCTGATCTGATGCCTCTTCAGGTAGAGATGATGATTCCTAAAGGAAGAAAATGGTATTTTATATACAAACTTTTTTTTTATCATTTTAAAAAGAAACATCACATAATAACGTTACAAGTTAGTAATATGAAGCCTGTGTGTTCAATGACTAGTTAGCAGGAAAATTATAAAAGAAAATCAAGCCAGTATTATTCTGGCCCAATAAATACAAAGAATTTGCTAAACACTAAGTTTAATGCTAAATAAAAACACAAAATTGAGTAAAAGGAGGGTTAAAGACTCCTTTAGAGTAAGAATGGTGCTTAGCTAATCCATTATAGCACACCAACTCATTTTACAAACGAGGGAAAAAAAAGGCTTAGAGCTATGAAGTTAATTTGTCCAGAATTTCAGAATTCGTCAGGACTAGATCAAGGTTTTCTGACTTCCAAATTCAATGATCTTCCTAGTCCAAATCCTCACAATATTAATGCCATTAGCTAGGTTTCCTAGCTAATCCCTCTTCTCAATCTTCACCCTCACTCACTGTGGCCAGGTTTTCAAATTTACCTTAACATGCATTAAACTGTTGAACTTTGTCCTTCCTGAAAAAATTTAAATTGCTTCCTATTGGGTGACATAACAAGTCCAAAACTTTAGATCCTAGATCTTCTAAAATCTAACCTCCTCTAGATTTCCATAAATCCCAACACAAGAAAACAGACGTCTCAATGTCATTTTCCAATGTCAGCCTTTGACCAATCCTTATCCTTCAGCAAATGTTAACTCTCCTCTGCCTAGAATAAAACAATCGCCCTCTCTCAGAATTCCTATTAATGTAATACATATCTTTTCAGTCAATTATTATCTGGTCCTCACTGTGAGCCAGGCACTGTTCAAGGAAAGGATATATAATAATAATAACTCTGCCCAGACAGAGCTAACATTCTACTAAATAGAAGACAGTCCATGATAAGTTTTTACTAAAAAAACATAATTAATAAAAGTAAGTTTTAACACACTGTGAATATATTTTAAAAAGAAACTATACACCTTGCTATTCACATTTACAAGTACATGAAAAAAGTCTGAGAATAAACACCGAACTGTTAATAATGGTAAACCCTGGACAGAGTTTCTTACTTTTTGCTTTGTATTGGTATTTAAATTTGTTTCAAACATAGATTTTTTTTTTAATTTGTGAGGAAGAAACAAGAGATTTGGGTTGAAGAGGACTTGACTAAGCACACTTACTTGCAGTAATGATTCACAGTAATGAAAAAATAAATCCATGTCAATATGAAAACAAGTATTATACTATCAGAAAATCAGAAATTGTTCTGACTTTTTGGAAAGCAGAAAGCAAATGGGATTGTATTGATAATAAGACTAGAGGAAACAGCAATCTAGAATCTATATAAAGACTGACACCACTGGTTCCACCGGGACCCTAAAAAGTTTTGAGATGATAAGCACAATGAGCAGGAATGGACTATGTGACAGCCATCAAAATGGATATTTGGAAAACCAAACTACAGGATACAGCTAGAACAGTCAGTCCCACACCCTTACCTGAGAATATGAAACTATAAAATCTGCTCCCAACTTAAAGCCCAAGAATTGCTTTCTAAACAAAATGAAAGATTTGCCAAGAGAGGGCTCATGTCCATGGAGCCGGACAGAGGTTGAATACATCCCAATATTATTCTAAACTTCAAAAAAGAGCTGGGGGGAAAAAAGAGAAGGTAATTTTACCAATGAATAAAGTACACTAAAGAATTCTACTTCTCAGAGAAAAGTACTGATTTTATCAGTTCTGAATACCCAGAACTAGCATGACTGTTCTCTGCCAAGGTCTAGATGTCTAACAGGACCTTACACTTAACCAAGAGTGTGCATAATGACACCTCACATTCAGGAGAAAGACTTTCTGGATGAGCAATCTACAAGGTCACAAAAGAAGTCCATACCAATTTATCAATAACTAATATGAACCATCAACTAAAGATCACCACATATTAAGAAATAATCATCACCCTAAAAGAGAAGGACTGTAAAAAACAAAACAAAAAAAAAAAACACTGATGGAAATATCAGAAAACAGAATATTTTTTTAAATCCCCAATTCCAAAAAAACAGTAGCCAGATGATCAATTCAGGGAGTCCCAGGGGGTCCAACATCAGATAAAAAGGAACACCAAAAGTTGAAAAAAAGAGAAACATGAATTTTCCCAAAATAACGGACATGAATACACAGCACAATAAATAAAAACAGACCAACTCCAGGGTATATCATCTGAAATTTCAATAGTGGTGATGAAGAAATAATCTTAAAACCTCAACAACAAAATCACTTGTTACAAAAAATCTAAAGGGACTAAATTTCACAAGAAAAAAAAAACTGACCAAGATGACAGTAGAAAAAATGCTTTCAGGGGCGCCTGGGTGGCTCAGTCGTTAAGCATCTGCCTTCGGCTCAGGTCATGATCCCGGGGTTCTGGGATCAAGCCCCGCTTCGGGCTCCCTGCTCTGCGGGAAGCCTCTCCCTCTCCCACTCCGCCCTGCTTGTGTTCCCTCTCTCGCTGTTAAATAAATAAAATCTTAAAAAAAAAAAAATGCTTTCAGATTTCTAAAGAAATCTATCTCCAAACAAGCTACAGCTACTCTAGAATGTTTATTTTTAAAAGATCATTTTTTATTTTAAATACGTTGGCAATGTTGTCATTAAGTAACCCAACTCAGGAGGTATCACTGAAATATCTAGGCCCCCAGAACCTACAGTCAGCTTTCCTCCAAGCCAGACCCTCACTCTGTAGTATCAGAATACATTTCAGATCTTACTAATGGCACCAACATTCTTTGGCCATAAAACTGAAGGTCCTAGATTTTATACCATTCTTTTCCACTATTAAAACCAGATTCCATTACCAATTTGCTGGCCCTATACACACTCACCCTTCCAAAAACTTTTTTTTAAACCAAGTCAAAGATGCTATCAATTTTAACAGGAACCATTATTTTTATTTATTTTTAAAAATTGCACAATTGTGCTTTATTAACTAGCACATTTCCTGAATTTAAGCCCCTTAAGAAATCAGTTTTGGAGAGTTTTAAGTTGCTTGGCACCTAACTAGTCTTTGCAGTAATTTCTGGCACTTTAGTAACTTTTTTTTTGCCAGTTCTTGTAAGAAAGGCAAAATTTTTCTTTTTTCTTTTATTTGGGTATAGTTGACACACAATGGTGCATTAGTTTCAGGTGTACAACATACCAAGTTTTATGTTATGCTATGCTCACCGCAAGTGTAGCAACCATCTGTCACCATATAATGCTATTACAATATCATCGGCTACATTCCCCATGCTGTGCTTTTTATTACTGTGATTTATTCATTCCATAACTGGAAGCCTGTTATCTCCCTCCCCCTTCACCCATTTTGTCTACAACCCCCACCCCTGCCCCTCTGCAACCATTAGTTTGCTCTCGATAGTTACAGGTCTGACTTTGCTTTTTGTTTACTCATTTTGTTTTTTAGATTCCACATGGGTGAAATCCTATAGTATTTGCCTTTTTCATTTTGACTTATTTCATTTAGCATAATACCCTCTAGGTGCACCTATGTTGTCGCATATGGCACAATTTCATCCTGTTTTATGGGTCATATTCCACTGTATATGTGTACTACATCTTCCTTTTCAGTGGACACTTAGGTTGCTTCCACATATTAGCTATTGTAAATAATACTCCAATAAACATGGAAGTGCATATATCTTTTTGAATTAGTATTTTCATTTTCTTTAGATAAATATTCACCAGTGGAATTATTGGATCATATGGTAATTTCTATTTTTAAAATTTTCTTTTTTTTAAGATTTTATTTATTCATTTGAGACACAGAGATACAGAGAGAGAGAGAGCATGAGTGGGGGGAGAGGGCGGGGGAGAGGCAGAGGGAGAGGGAGAAGCAGGCTCCCCGCTGAGCCAGGAGCCGGATGTGGGGCTTGATCCCAGGACCCATCATGACCTGAGCCAAAGGCAGACGTTTAACCATCTGAGCCACCCAGGTGCCCCTCTATTTTTAAATTTTCAAGGCAACTTCATACTATCTTTTACAGTGGCTGTATCAATTCACTTCCCCACCAGTAGCATACAAGGGAGGAACCATTATTTTAAAAGAAATACTGAGATTTTTTTAATGTGGAGGAAAAAATGTAGATCTTAGAATAAAATACTATACAAATCTTTGTCAATGATCCAGAACACGATCCTTTTTATGGTTTTGTGTGTGTGTGTGTGTGTGTGTGTGTGTGTGTGTGTTTTCAGGACACCATCCTTAGCCTCCCTACCTATACAGGGATGTTATTTGCCATGATAAATATAGAAATTAATCAAGAACTTCAGAAAATCTTGTCTTGAGAAAGCTGCTTTAGGATTTTTTTAAAAAGATTTTCACTTATTTTTTAAGAGTGAGCACATGAGTAGGGAGAGGAGCAGAGGGGGAGAGGGAGGCAGCCCCACATGGGGCTGGATCTTGCCACCCTGAGCCAAAACCAAGAGTAGGACACTTGACCGAATGAGCCGCCCAGGCACCCCTAGAAAGCTACTTCAGGCTTTTAAGATGTCCCCAGGGGGTGGGGGAGGGAGGGGGGACCACCTCTTTTAACATTTAAATATGCTATGTTTAACCCCCACGGCTAAATAAAAAGTTATCTTTGATGAGGGTTTTTCAAACTCAGCACTACTGACATGTTAGGTTTGATAATTCTTTGGGTTTTTTTGCGGGGGGGGAGGTTGTACACTGTAGGATGTTTAGCAGCATCTTTGGCCTCCATTCATAAGATGCAATAGCACTCTCCCAGTTTTTTTTTTTTTTTTTAAGATTTTATTTATTTGGCAGAGAGATGCAGAGAGAGAACAAGTAGGCAGAGAGGCAGGCAGAGGGAGAGGGAGAAGCAGGCTCCCCACCGAGCAGGGAGCCCGACGTGGGGCTCGATCCCAGGACCCTGGGATCATGACCCGAGCCGAAGGCAGCCGCTTAACCGACTGAGCCACCCAGGCGCCCAGCACTCTCCCAGTTTTAACAACCAAAAAATGTCTCCAGACATTGCCAAATATCCCCTGATGTAGCAAAATTTCATCACTCCCTCATTCTCCCAGTGAGAATCTCCCATCTCCCATCACTCCTTCATGCTCCCTTCTTCATGGTGTGATGGTAAGGATAAAGAGCCTTGGGTTCATAATAATCTTCAATATAATAGCCTTCTTTATGCTTCCCAATTCTAGGTCCTATTGTTTTTAGTAACCTTTTCCTTACAGAGCTGACTTTCAATATTTGAATCATTTGAGTACCACTGTTTCCACATTTATTTGTAGTAAACTTCGAGATAATTGTACATTCACATACAGTTATAATAGAAATCTTACGTTATTTTTTTACCTAGTTTCTCCCAATAGTAACATCTTGTGAAAGTATAGCAAAATATCACAAACAAGATAAACGTTGTAATAACCCATTAATCTTACTCAGATTTCCCCAGCTTTATTTGTACTCATTTTATTTATGGTTTAGATCAGAACAATTTTTATCACACTTGAAATTTTGTGTATCCAACCATGAGTCAAAAATATAACAGTGCTACCATCAAGGATCTCTTCTGCTGTTTCATAACCACACATCCCACTCCTTCATGTGCCCCTAAGAAATCAATTCTCTTTTCCTTCCTTACTGTACACAAAATCACCAAAAACACATATAATCTGTACCTTTTATAAATAATTAACAGGTCACAAATAATATAACAAGGTTATAATATAAATTCACAATTTAGAAAAATTTTGTCAGCTTTAAAAAAGTTATTCAAATTTAAATTAGTCACAAGTAAAAAGACCACATCAAAATATTCTTAAATCATATTCAGAAATAGAAGATAAATTTTTAAAATTGACACAATATAACTTATTTTCAACTACTGAGTATACCTAAAGTTTTCACTTATAGCCAATTTTTACAATTTAAACTTTTCCAAATTTTATAGATTTACTTGACAAACGAAATACACTGGCCTTACACTCAACCCAGGAATGTACTACACTTCACTTGGTTTATAACAATTTACCTTCAATTTCACTGGAGATGGACGATGTCTCTTTTTAACTTCTACCCAAGGTTCTGAGTCCAAGTCAGGCAAACTGGTAGACAAACCTCTAGACATTGCTTGAAGCTTATTTGTTTCAGTATTTTTCTTTGGGTTCAGTGGACTTCCAGTTCTTGGAGAATTGGGGGCAGACTCTAAAATTTTAAGTTAGTACTTAGTTAAAATATGGTTTTCTTACTTATAAAACACTTCTTTTTCCTTACTTGGGCTTGATTTTTTTTCCCACAAAAACACGACAAATCAATCTCAATTACAATTTTTCCAATGCCTTTCAAACCTGAAAAGATGTAATGCCAAGATGTATTTGAGTGAAGCCAATGAATAATAGAAAAAAGAAATGTCACAAAGTCTTACACAGATCATTCATTCAAACTTCTTAAGCATATCAATTGAGTCACTAATTGTGGTAATACATTTAATTGAGGGGTCAATTCCCTGTCAAATCTTAAAATCTATCAATTATAATGAAATTATGGAATCTCAAATGCTATTAAGCACAGTAAATGCATATTTTATTCAAGGCAGTATCAGTCCTTCACTATTCTGCTACAATCTATAGCAAGGCAGTCATTATTCACACTTCACATTTCCTCTGCTTACTGAGTTTTACCTAAATGCAGTGTGCCCACTTAGCTCCTACTGGATACTGTAAAGAGTAGAATGTCACATCATTAAAGTGCACTGCCCTGGTAATAAAGTTTAAAACATTTTAAAACTCTGTTGGAATTAAAAATGCTTTTCTCCACACTATCTCTTAATCAAAATAATTACATCCTCTATAAATAAAATCCTGATTCCCCTACAAATCTTTTTCTAAAAATTAAAAAGAATACTTATTTTAAGTTATAATGTAATACGTACTTCTTTGGACAAAGAGTTTTAAATACAAATTTATACTCTAAGATTCTAAATATCATTTAATTTAGTCCCCAAAAGCCAATTACTTGAAAATATTGCAAAGCTGAATATTACATGGAGAAAGCTGAAATAAATGAACAGCAAGAACTCTTTTATTTACTAAATGAAAATGCAAAGGCACATTCCAGGACTTTGGGTTTGAGAGGAATATTCCAAGATTTTACTCTCATCTACTACATGCTAGAATCAAGTAAGAGTTATTCTCCTCTCTATGAAAACCTATTAGATACAGGATTCAAATATCAAATTACCATACTACTTTTTTTAAAAATACATTCCTTCATAATGGAGAAGGCTCTAAACTTGCACTGTCCAGTACAGAGCCACTGGTCATATGGAGCTACTGAGCACTTAAAACATGGGTAGTCCTAAAATGTTCTAGTAAGTTTAAGGTCCATAGCAGATTTCAAAGTCTTAGTACAAAATATCTAAAAAGGTAAAATGGATCTGTAATTTTTGTATTAATGTTATAATATTTGGGTATATTAAAATATTTTAAATGTTATTAAAATTAATTTCATTTGTTTTGTAGCTTTTCAGGCTATTAAAATTATTAGGATTACATGTATAGCAAACATTATATTTCTATTTGACACTGCTGCTTACAACTTTCTTAATGGTACATGTGTCATCAACTGACCCACAGAGGTAGTATAGGTGAAATGCTAGGTTTGGGCTGCAGGTATTGATATTAAAGTTATAGGAATGGGAAGATATTTATCAGCAGAGAACCCTATTTCTAATACTATAAATCACCTATGCTCATACAGTGAATAAAGCCTTAAAAACAGACTAAGAACCACCACCCTAGCAACTGTGAGAATTAACCAAATTACTATGGATAGTTCATGTATAAATGATTAGAATGGTACATGGTAAGGAAATCAGTTAACTACTATTTTTAACACAGAAATCTAATCTTTAAACACCTACTTAAGCTTATTATATAATTATCTCTAAATGCTCGCTAAGCTTGAATGTTTCTACCATGAAGTCAAGTGTTTCTCTATATCCACAAACGTGCTTACAAATTAAACATTAAAATACCAAAGAATTTGAGTAAGACAAGAAAATTTAGAATAGTCTGAGTTTTTAAAGGGAAATGTTCACCTTATAATTACCTACACATACGCTGTGTGACTTTTCTTTTACGATGAAAAAATTCCAAACATTATGTATGTAAATTTTAAGGGTTAACGGTAAAGCCCTAATCTTCCAAAAACCAATGAGTCTGCATATTACTTGGATGACCTGACATTAAACTTACAGATAAGAAATTAGACACACACTTTGACATTTATAGGTTCTAATTTGTGAGAACATAGAAAAAAATTTATCTTTGCTGTTTTCATTAATTGAAAAAATTGTCAACATGACTCTCCAGGGGTAAAATCACCCTCTAATGTTCCATGATTATCTATCTAGTTTGACTTCTTTAACGACCCTGAATCCAGGTAATGATACAGATTGCTTTAAAATGATTATATACTTTATGTGTGGCACATTCACGAATACTTCTGCAATTTTCCAAAGGAAATCCCACAGCTTATTAAAAAATCATTAGGGATCCTCCTACACATTTTTCAAAAAGCCAACAACAACAACAAAAAACCCCAAGATGGTCAGGTACCTGACCCTCTCAATTTTGATGAATGAAATCCTTTTACTACTTAAAAGAGTTGATAATGCAATACTATATCCATTGAACTGCAAACCCTAAATTTTAAAATTAACATCTTACCATTCCCATAATCAACATTTTCTGGTGCATTGAGGTCCTCTGTTCAGTGCAAAGGTGAACTCATGTTACACAATTCAACTTCCATAGAGGGAAAAATAGACATTTTAATTTCTTTGATGAAAAAAACAAAATGTTTAAATATTTTACCATATAAATCCCTCAGGAAGTATACATCAATGGTTATGTTTTTTGAAATATAAAGTCTTCTCTTTACAGATAAAAAGGATATAGATAAAAGTTTCTTTATCTATAGGTACAGATAAACACATCTACTTTTCTGATTCCCATATCCATTTCAAATTTTTGGTGACATACTACTCTCCACTGAATTTAGGACCTAAGGCTTTCTCATCAGAGGGTAATTATTAAAGTCAGAAATATGGGGATTCATGGAAAAGGCTGAATTTATGTATTTATTCCTATGGTGTAATGTAAATCTGTATAACTCTAAGAACATTCTTTCTATATGCCTTCATTATGCATCCAGTTACAGATGTATAATCTAAATAACCTAAAATTTTTGACATTTAAATATATAGTGACTTGTTTTGGCAATGTGTATATGAGATGTAAATGAGTGTATATTTAAAAAAATACAAAAATGTACAAGGCATTGTGATTTTATTCTTGTAATTTTATTAATAATGCATAAATGGTTAAATGAACAGGCATCAACAACTTGACTGACCTATTTTAGCTACCCTGTGGGAAAAGTATTTTCTATTTTTATCTAACTCACTTAAAGCCTGTTCATAAGCAGGTTAAAAATGTCATCTTGGACCCCAAGTTTACATAAATAAATTAATCTAACTTATACAATCAGACATTAAGTCTTTAAGAAAACCTAAAAAGTATCACTTTTCTTCAACTTTTAAAACAATTGCCCAAGTTGTTTGCGAGGGCTAGAGGCATAGAGGGCTGACAAAGAAACACTAAATAAAAATAGCTGTGAGACTGTCCACTGGTACTTTATTGATGGCAGGTCTCACATACTGGTGTATAAAAAATATATCTTGAAGAGTTTAGAAAAAAAATTCTTGTTCATTTCTCAAATGTCTTATCCCTCAGTGTCCACATTAACACATCTTATAGTCCATGTGAAATATTATGACAACATGTGAGTTGTACACTGTACACTATACTGAAGGGCAAATCAAATAGCAAAGGACCTAACAATCTGGGAAATGCCACTCAAGCCTCTCTATTTTTTGTTTTATTGATCTAGACACAGGTACATAAGTCTGGAAGGAAAAGATACAATCTTGCAATATTTCCAGAATGATAATTAACTTTCCCACCGTAAATAAAAGTAGCACAGGCAGCTCAGGCTAATTACACACAAATGGGTGGCTCCTATAAAAACAACAGCAGTCCTCTGGTCTCTCTCTCATTATCATCACAAAGGTGTTTATCTCCATTGTAGTGGTGGCCCAACCTCCTCCACAAGGAGTCGGGAGTAGACATTCTTGCATAGAAGTCTGGTCGCTTTCATTTCTGCAGCACGATTTGTTCCAATGTTTATAATATTTCAGTGAGTCACCTATTCCTCTGCACATTCGATCAAATGACATCCAAGCATCAGTAGATCATCACCCTGACTGAAAAAAGTTTAAGCACACACATTTTTTCCCAAGAGGGAATGTCTTAAAAATGATCCAGGAAAAATTTCTTAATATCAAAGCAGTTTTTGGAAATTCTAATTACCATCAATTCTTTATCTATAATTATAATAATTTCATAACAGTACCCCAATGCTGCTTTTGAATATAGGTCATCCCATCTTTACCAGACAGGACTGAAGCACACTAGTAGCAAAATTAAAGTCACCCCCTCTTGAGTATAAGACTTTTAAACTACTCGTCCTACTAGACTACTCCAATCTTACAAAAGGAAACTGGCACAACATATCTATAATCATTTAGTAAAATTACGAAGATAGGTAGAAATTCCGTACATGACAAAGTACACAATTTAAGAACAGAGCAGAGATTTACCCATAATTCTTAAATCCCTTTTTAATTTATGGCTGGGGGGGCAAAATGAATAGAATTCAGAGCATCAAAAGTCATTTTGTAATCTTTAATTTTCCTATACAACCTAAATAAACTTTTTTAAATGATAGGTCAATTGGACCAAACAGCCCACCATTACACTGCTTGCTCTAGAAGAAAAGTTGTTACCTGTATGTGAACCAAAGGCTTGGCCTGGTACAAACTCTGGGCAATCAATCAGTTGAGAGAAGTCTGTTTGTGGCACACTACGTGGAGGAGGGCCCGGAATTGGCCACTTTTCTGGTTCTATCTTTTTTCTCATTTTCTCATCCACAATTTCCACTTCTGTGCTATCTTTCAGTGCCTATAAATAGGTATTTTGAGCTATTAAAGAACTTTCATTCAAGAAACTGTAATTGCACATCCTATACTTCTAATAACCTAAGAATTCTTTAAATCTGAAATTAGCAGACATTACAATAAATGTTTCTAAAAATACCAATGAATTAACTACTTAGAACAAATTTTTAAATCATTTGCCCCTGTAATAGCTAACACATATCCTCACATAACATGCAGCAGATAATTTGGTTTTCACAACAGAATAGACCTTTAAGGATCATTACATCAACTAGAATCAAACTACTTTTACCATAATTAAATTTATTTTTTTTCTCTATTTCCTTTTATCTTACCTTAATATAATACCGCCAAATAAAATTTAGGCACTATTTTAACAACTACCACAATTGGTAAGAAACAGACATACACATTCCTCACAATACCCTATAATGTACACAGATGGGGAAACTGAGGCTCAAAGAAATAATCTGATAAAGATCATAGACTGGGGTGCCTGGGTGGCTCAGTCGTTAAGCGTCTGCCTTTGGCTCTGGTCATGGTCTCAGGGTCCTGGTACGGAGCCCCGCATCCGGCTCCCTGCTCAGTGGGGAGTCTGCTTCTCCCTCTCCTTCTGCCCCTCCCCCCACCTCCCGCTGGTGCTTGCTCGTGCTTGCTCTCTCTCAAATAAATAAAAATCCTTAAAAAAAAAATTGTTAAAATGAATAAATAAATAAAGATCATAGACTTAGTATGAGGCAATACTAGGACTCAAATAATTTATTAGCTGTCCACCACTAAGTCTTAGTCACTAGACTATAGTGCTTTGCAAAAATAAACATGCTGCAATTTAATGATAAAACTAGAACAAAATTTCCTCAAAATAAAGGACTTATTCATCTGAATTTTTTTTTTTTAAAGATTTTATTTATTTATTTGAAAGAGAGAGAGAATGAGAGAGAGCACATGAGAGGGGGGAGGGTCAGAGGGAGAAGCAGACTCCCTGCCGAGCAGGGAGCCCAATGCGGGACTCAATCCCGGGACTCCAGGATCATGACCTGAGCCGGAGGCAGTTGCTTAACCGACTGAGCCACCCAGGCGCCCCTTATTCATCTGAATTTTATCTGAAATTCAAGGGTACTCACCTTTTAGAAATTAAATCAGGCAAAATACAATTATATAAAAACTGAACATATATACTTGTTATTTTATAAAAGTTAAAACTATCTTTTAGTGGAAGAACATATCGTATGTGTTACTTTTACATTTGTATGCCTTAGTGTAAGTACAGTACTCACTTTTCAAGTTATACTTTCAAAACTGGACAGGACTTTAAAATTATTAAAATTTAGGGTACCTAAATTTTGGCTCAGTTGGTTAAGCGGCTGCCTTCGGCTCAGGTCATGATCCTGGAGTCCCTGATCGAGTCCCGCATCAGGCTCCCTGCTCGGCAGGGAGTCTGCTTCTCCCTCTGACCCTAACCCCTCTCATGTGCTCTCTCTCATTCTCTTTCAAATAAATAAATAAAATCTTTAAAAAAATAAAATAAAATAATTAAAATTTAAAAAAAACTTTTTTGATGGGAATGAGGATACCCTCTGAAAAAATAGAGAGTATGAAATAGGGAATAAAGGAAATAAGGAAGAAGCCTATAATAAGGGGCTGGAATTAGTGATAGCTGTATTTTTTTTTTTTACATATTTTCCTAGTTTTGTCTGCTGAACATTCTAGAAGCAATGACACCCTAGTAGCAAACCTCAGGATACCTAGCATCCAGATCCTGCAAGAGGAGGAGCCAGGAGACAAAAGAATTCCATTTACACAAATGTGTACAAATAAAAGGACAAATTTAATCTATGCTAATATAATCAGAAAAGTGGTTTGGGATGCAGCAGAGGGTTGATGGGTAGATTGACTGTGACTGGAAAGGGCCATTAAGGAAGTCCTTAGAGGGGGCGCCTGGGTGGCTCAGTTGGTTAAGCGACTGCCTTCAGCTCAGGTCATGATCCTGGAGTCCCGGGATCGAGTCCCGCATCCGGCTCCTTGCTCAGCGGGGAGTCTGCTTCTCCCTCTGACACTCCCTCCTCTCATGTGCTCTCTCTCTCATTCTCACTCTCTCAAATAAATAAAATCTTTAAAAAAAAAAAAAAAAAGGAAGTCCTTAGAGGAATGGGCTGAATCTTTTTGGGGGCAGGCTTATACAATTTCAAAACTCAAAATGAACACCTAAGACCTCTGCATTTTACAGCAGGCTATTTATACCCGAATTTAAAAAAAAATCTTTGAAACTTTCCTATTGGTTTAAATTTTTCAGAACAGTGTTTGGAAAAAGACTGCCAATATGATGACGGAATATGGAGCAAGTGAAACTCTCAATGGTGGTAGTTTTAACTGGTTCAATAACTTGGAAAAAATGTTTAGCAGTATCTACAAAAGCTAACCGTGTGTGTGTGTGTGTGTGTATGTGTGTGTGTGTATTTATCTCCTGTTACCCATGTCACAGGAAAATAAGAGCATTATGACCATCAAAAAATATGTACAATAATGTTCACAACCATACCACAGATTCAAACTGGACAGAACCCATGTATCTACAAACAGCAGCATGGAAAAATACATTGTGTTACATTCATATAATGAAATACTACCCCAAAATAGATAATGAACAACTGCTACACACCAACAATATGGATAACCTCACAGAAATGATAAGTACAAGTCAGATATAAAAGAGTACACATACCTCTGATTAGGTGAAATTAAAAAACAAATTGAGAGAGCTCTGAGAAGCAATTACCTATGAGGAGAGCTGTGGTACAGGCTAGGAGCGTGGTACAAGGGAGCTTCCTGGGATGCTGAACATGTTTTATATCTTAATCTGAGGGCAATTACACAACTTTATACATTGAGAAAAGTCATATGTAATCCTATGATTTCTAATATATAGTGTATAAATTATGCCTCAATTTAAAAGAAAAAAAATTGAGTAGGGAAAAAAAAAAGTTCTCTGTATACAACTATTCTAATAGTTATGTATACAATAATGTATACAACTAATCTAATAAAAGGGGGCATAACAATATATCTAGTATAACATGTACTATCTCAGGAGAAATAATACACAAAAAAGAAGTAACACTGTCACCAAGAAAGGTTTAACTAGTTTACTACTGGTAAAAGATGGGAAGGAAATTCTTCACTATGTGAAGAATTCCTGAATTCTTCAGGAAGAAAATAAAGAGAACAGAGTGAATGTTGTGATTTAGACCTTAAAAACATCACAGAAAAATTAAGTTTTACACAAAATTAAGGAAAAGAAGGGCACCTGGGTGGCTCAGTCATTAAGCATCTGCCTTCGGCTCAGGTCATGATCCCAGGGTCCTGGGACTGAGCCCTGCATGGGACTCCCTGCTCGGCGGGAAGCCTGCTTCTCCCTCTCCCACTCTCCCTATTTGTGTTCCCTCTCTCACTATCTCTCTGTCAAAAAATAAATAAAATCTTAAAAAGAAAAATTAAGGAAAAGATCTAGACAAAATAAGAGTTTTATTAAAACCAAACCATGATTATCTTCAGCTCCTAAACAATTATAGTATACAGTTAATATTTCTGGATACCTGAAGATTTCTCTATTAATTTTGGTCCTTTTCTTAATGGTTATCTATTATTATGAACAAATACCAATATTAGAATACATACATAATGTATTCCTAGTTCCTGGTCCCATGCCTGGTACTAAGAGAAAAGATTTACTATGTGCAAATACTTAAAGATAAGATGGCAGCACACATTGTGAGGAACCACAGTCAGACAATTTGGAAAACAGTTTCAGATGAGAATAGCAAAAATCGTTCCAAGAACTTTACAAATATGTTAATTACTTCTCTTAAGCCCTTACACTCTATGATAGTTTAAGTATTATTTGCCCTATTTTAACAATGAGAAAACACGCATGAAGAGGTTAAGTAACTTGAAAAGTTATACAACTGATTAGCTAAAGATCAAGGATTAACTGAATTTATTTTTTTAATTAATTTATTATGTTATGTTCGTCACCATACATCACATCATTAGTTTTTGATGATTCACTGTTTGCGTATAACACCCAGTGCTCCATACAGTATGTGCCTTCCTTAATACCCATCACAAGGCTCACCCATCCCCCCACTCCCCTCCCCTCTAGGTTCGTCTCTCCCTCTGATTCCCCCCCTTCACCTTTCCCTTCCTTCTCCTAATGTCCTCCATGCTATTCCTTATGTTCCACAAGTAAGTGAAACCATATGATAACTGTCTTTCTCTGCTTGACTTATTTCACTCAGCATAATCTCCTCTAGTTCCACCCATGTTGATATAAATGTTGGGTATTCATCCTTTCTGACAGCTGAGTAATTGAATTTAGGAAAAAAAAAAAAAAAGGAAGTCATAAACAGCTCTCAGCTATGGAGCAAGAATCAAGAACTCAGTAAACTGGATCTACCATATGATCCAGCAATTCCACTTCTAGGTATATACCCAAAGAAAATGAAAACAGGATTCTGAAGAGATATCTGCACACCCATGTTTATTGCAGCATTAGTCACAGTAGCTAAGATGTGGAAACAAACTAAATGCCCATCAACAGATGAAGAGATAAAGAAAATGTGGAATGCATATATATATATGTATGTATATAAATATATATATATGTATATACACATATACATATATATCAATATTATTCAGCCATGAGATAGGAGGACATCCTGCCGTTTGCAACAACATGGATGGACCTTACGGACATTATGCTAAATGAGGTAATTCAGAGAAAGACAGGTACTGTATGATATCGCTTATATGTGGAATCTAAAAAAGTGAAACTCAGGGCGCCTGGGTGGCTCAGTCGTTAAGCGTCTGCCTTCAGCTCAGGTCATGATCTCGGGGTCCTGGGATCGAGCCCCATGTCGGGCTCCCTGCTCTGCGGGAAGCCTGCTTCTCCCTCTCCCACTCCCCCTGCTTGTACTCCCTCTCTCGTTGTGTCTCTCTCTGTCAAATAAATAAAAATAAAATCTTTAAATAAATAAATAAGTGAAATTCATTTAAAAAAAAAAGAGTAAAATGGTGGTTACCAGGAAACAGCAGGTGGGGGGGTAAGATTGATGTTGTTTAAGGGCACTAATCTGCAATGAGTAGTAAATAATCCACAGAGATTTCATGCACAGTATTATGACTACAGACAATACTGTACTATAGTTATGTGATAAATATCACTATAATACCAATTATATTACTGTATATGTATCAAAGTAAAAAAAAAAAGTACAGTAAGCTGAAAATGAATGGGAAGAAACAGATTCAGTAAGACCAGCTATGTAGAAAACCTCATCTGGGACAGAGGTGTGAACTAAATAAAGTATATTTTGCTTCTTTTGATAGTTTTTCAGGAAAGAAGACTTGAGCCTATCAAACTACAAATAACAAAACATTGATAGAATTGAAATGAAGATCCAAAAAAAGGAGTGAACAATAGAAGAGCATCCTTAAAGACTAACAATAATAGCAAATTCATATTTAGGGCTTACTATTTGTGCCAGACACTGTCATTACACATTTCATCCTCAAAGACAACCCTATGAAGTATTTATTGTTACCATTTCCACTTTACAGAAGTCTCAGGACATTGCCCAAGGTCACAAAACTACGAAGATGTGTATCCTGGTTCTCAAGCCTGTGCTCTAAATCAATGTTTATATTGCTACGCCCAATGAAACCTTACATTCATAACAGAGAAAGGACAACTTTCCCACTGTAACCAATGGTAGGTACATAATAAATGTTAAGTGAATGTAGACCTGTGCTGTTCTAAATCACTGGGCTTATATGTAAATTCATTAAGAGTAACACAAAAGTTCTTTTAAATATTCCTTCCCTACTGCTATAAGTTATAAAGAAACAGATAATCAATAACCTAAAAATTATGCCTAAGGACTCACTGGGAACACCAACAGACCAAAAAACCATACAATAATGAAATTACAACCAGATTCCTACAGAAGTACGGAAGCGTGGAGGAAACCAGTAACAAATTCATGGAAAATGACAACTGAGATAGATCTTTGCTATAGTACAAACGATGACAGTAGTTAATAAACTCATTCTACTATGAATATAATCATAATATTTTTCTGAAGACTAAGTTTTACAGGAAAAAACTAAGTTTTCTTCAAATTATAGTATACAGAAATTATTTAGATGGCATCTATAAATAAATGTAATAATGGTAGTACTTGAAGTAATTTCTTTCATAAAACAAAGCCTAATTACACATCAACAAATAACAAATCACTAGTTTTTATTGTTTTTGAAATCTTGAATCTTCCTGTAGCTAGTTTTTAAAGCCTGGAGCGCACACGTTCCAAAAAAATTTGCTAAAGAAATCTGTTAAGAAAATAAAAAGATGAGCCAAAGACTGGGAAAAAATATTCATGAAACACAAAGGATCTGTACCCACAAGAACTCTTACAATTATAAAAAAACAATCCATTAAAAATAGGCAAAATATCTGAACAGACATTTCAACAAAAAAGGTACACTGATAGCAAATAAACACATAAAAAAAGATGCTCAGCATCGTTAGTCATTAAGGAAATACAAATTAAAACCACAATGAGAAACTACTCCATATCTAATATTAAAAAATAAACTGAAAATACCAAGTGCTGATGAGGCTATAGAACAAATGGAACTCATACAAAATGGTGGAATGCAAAATGGTCAAACCCACTTTAAACATACTTCTTACAGTTAATACACTTACAATACATGCCAGCAACCACAATCCTCAACATTTACCCAACAGAAATGAAAACATATCTACACAAAGACCTTTCTACTTTATTCATTATCTCCAAAAACTGGAAACAATCTAAGTGTCTATCAACAAGTGAAGGGATAAACTGTGGTACATCCATACCGTGGAATACTAATCAACAATAAGAAAGAACAAACTACTGATAATGTACAACATGAATAAATCTCAAAAGCACTATGCTGAATGAAAGAAATCAGAAATAAAGGGCTACAAACTACATACAAACATGTAACTTATTTATATGATATTCTGGAAAAGGCAAAACTAAAGGGACAAAAATCAGATCAGTGGTTCCAGGAGTTGTGTATGAGAAAAGGGATTGGCTACACAGGGGCACAAGAATATAAGTCTGGCAAAACTATAGCAAAAGGGCAAATCTGATTGCATGTATGTAGGGAACAGAAAACCAAAAATGTTCAAAGCATTTCTAGAACAGGACAAAAAATTTAACAAAAACATTAAGAATACAAGTGGAAAGACTTTTAAATTAGCATTTCTATAACACAGGAAAAATTCTCAAAATTTTAATAAATAGAAATACATGCTATCGGGGAGGAGAATGGGGGGATGGGTTAGCGTGGTGATGGGTATTAAAGAGGGCACGTTCTGCGTGGAGCACTGGGTGTTATGCACAAACAATAAATCATGGAACACTACATCAAAAACTAATGATGTAATGTATGATGATTAACATAACAATAAAAATTTAAAGAAAAAAAAATACATGCTATTTTGCAGCAACCTGAGACTAAAGGACCAAGCTTAAGAAGGTCCAAGTTTGAAGGATCAGGTTAACAACAGGTGGAAACAACATTAGTAAACCCCATTTGAGGGGTTTCCAAGGTTAGGCATTTACTTGGGTTTTATAAAATGAAAAAAAACAAAAAAGCCATGAAAGAGTCTAGGCCTTAGGCAACTACAGATTATTTTTGTGTTTTTTTTTTCCTTAGGTTTTTAATATAATTTTTAGAGCAATTTTAGGTTCACAGAATAATTGAATGCAAAGTACAGACTGTTTTGTAAATGAATAATTACCTCTAAAATGAGATTAAGGTTTGTAGTGAGAGCCTGAACACGGTGGAAACCAGCAATCAGCGAAATAGGTAAGAAACCTTGTTTATCCATCTTTCTCCTAAGAAAGAAGTCCCGTTCTAAATTTTCTATACTGAAGTAATATTCGCTGAAAAAAAGAAACAAACAGAAATAAACATAAGTTTAATTCATTTATTCAACAGGAAATAAAAATATCTATGACTTATATATCAACAGCTTTAAAATTATTTTATTAATAACATATAGATTTAATACAACTTAGATATAGAGTAAATACAAGAAAGAACAAAACCCTACTGAATTTAAAATTTCTTATCCATGAGTAGAAAGAACTTTAGACTACTGATTCCCTTCCAAAAACCTAACATTAACTTCTACTTAGATCAGCTTTACCTAAGTATAAAGAATTAACCAGCATTTTACTTTAAAATAGCTCAATAACTGATTTCTTTAAATAACTGATTTTTTAAATGAGTCAATGAAGTGAAAATTTTCATTAAAAGTTACTTTAACTTGCTTCATTTAAACACTGCATAATGACTAAAAACAGGTCAACAGATTGCCTTCCAACTTATTCCCCATCACTAAGAACATTATATTTGGAAGTATACTTTGTCAAGTTTACAGAGTGGATTACAGTTTTTGTTTTGTTTTCTAAATTGACAGGGTACTGACACTGTTTAATGTATTTCTGAATCCTAGTAATCAGCACAATGCTGAGTAAAAATTTAGTGAATACATGAGCATAGGTGTACACACACACAATTATATATTTGCAAGATCTCCCTCTTTCTTTGTTGGAGAGAACTATAAAAGACATTAAGAGTGAACAGAATATATAGCTATACAAGGGACATCTATGATACTATGAGGTACCTGGGGGTAAAAATACAGGAAAAACTTAAATACCTTAATCTTCTCTAGGAAAGTAGAGTGAGAAATGTAAATGATAAACTGTATAATCAATAACTACAAGTTCCAAGATACAAAGATAATATGGATATATTTAAAAATGACATTTGAGAAACACATTTAAAATTATAGCCTCTAGGGAGCCTGGGTGGCTCAGTTGGTTAAGCGACTGCCTTCGGCTCAGGTTATGATCCTGGAGTACCAGGATCAACTCCCGCATCAGGCTCCCTGCTCAGCAGGGAGTCTGCTTCTCCCTCTAACCCTCCCCCTTCTCATGTGTTCTCTCTCAAATAAAATCTTTTAAAAACTAAATAAATAAATAAAACAAAACTACAGCCTCCATATCGGAAAATAAGAAAAGAATTCTAGAGAGACCAAAAGGACAAATGGGAGGAAATGTACAGAAGAATACAAAAGAAATACATAACATCAATAATAATATGGCCTACAGATTAATAATCCTATGTTTCCAAATCAGAGAGAGTTTGCAAAGATCGGTGGCAAATTATGAGAAAGCACACCAAATCGTATACTTTGGTGTTAACACTGGGTGACTAAAGATACCCCTGAAATATTCAGGTTAAATTCTAACTTTGAAGAAATAATCACCCATAAATGAGAAATGGCTTTGAGCTACTTTTCACTGGGAGGAAAGATCTTATTTTAGAAATGTAAATACTCAAGTTGTTTCTTTATACTCAGATATTTATCCAACTATCAAAGTGCAAAGCTCCCTTAGAGATCACTGAAATACCACTGATATCTCAGTAACACCAGTAAATCATTTACTCATCTTAAACACTGAAGAAAAAAATCTTAAGTCTTAAAGAAATAAACATTCTGATTTTGTTATACCTCAAAAAGCCCTTTGCACAGTGCCTGGCATGTGGTGGGCACATAATACACGTGTTCTAATTTTTGTTACAAAGTCCTTTTCATAGTGCCTGACATGGTAGACACAAAATACAAACGCTTAAATTCTAAATTTTCACAAATTAAGACATTTGATTTAGTCACACGTTAAAACTGTTCTTAGACAAAAACTTCTGAATCATTAATTAGATGCCTTTTTATTCTAGTACTTTGTGAAAACCTTAGTATCTGAATAAATTCATAAATCACCCTATTACCTATAGTATATATTTTTTGAAACTTCTAATGGGTTACAAAACTACTCATCTCTAAATCTGAATGCCAGATTCAGAAGCTAGAAATAATCAAGATCTTAAATTTTTAATATTCTGACACCAAAATGACAAATTAATATATTTTCCAGTTAAAATAATTTTAAAAATTCAAACATCCATAATAATAGTTAAGCTTCTTACTTTAAAATACATTTAGCACAGTTTTCCACAAATGCAAGAAAGTTTTTCAGTAACTTCTCAAAGAGAAAAATGTAAACCCTAATCAATGAGCCTATCTTGAGAAACCTCAAAGAAAACCAAGTCAAAAGCATGACTCCTCAAAGCATGACTCCACTAATCAAAGAACGATTAACATTAAGAGCCATTCTAAACCTGGTGCTCTACCACCTGCCAAAAATCCTACTGCTAAAACAGTAACAACAAAAAAAGGAGTCATGCCCAATGCTGTGTCTGACATTTTGTTCAGTGTCCTAGGGGACATTATCATGTCCTACCTTAGAAGCTCTGGATTCTACACTGCATGATCAGAAATTTTGTCAACACTGATGTAGCTCTGCTCCTCCCTCACTTGTATGAGCACATTGGAGGCCGATTATCCTGACATGGAGTTGCATATCCACTGTCAGGTCTCAGAAGGGACCTGGCAGCAAGAGTTACAAAAAAGACAGGAATAGTGGTTTGAAGTTGATAGCCACATGCCAGGCACTTTCTGCCCATAAAAAGGCCCTTTTCTTCAGTGTTTGCGTCAACTGTAACAGAAGAAGCAAGAACAAAATAAACAAGTTGCTTCGTATTGTATGTAAGCCAATCAAATCCACCATGAAGGCATCCCAGGAAGATGCCTGGATGATGCTGATGAAGAAATTATTTTCCAGTAACAGAGTAAATTTTCTTTCATAAATAAAGGAAGATGTTTTTAAGATGCTTATACCCTTTCAAAAATAGCCTTTTTCCTGCACTTTGTAAGAATAAAAAAATAATCAAATTTCAGCAAACTGGTTACGCAAATCACTTGGGGACATTTTTCTTACTACTATATAAGCACATTATATAAATATGCAAAACATCCTATAATACTAGTATGTACAAGGGTTATTTTTTTCTTAAAAACAATAAAATATTCTAACTTCAACTTCAGTATTCAGAAGGCAACTATTATGAGAACTAGATTAAAAAGTCTGAACTAAAAATGAGGTAGTTCCCCTTCAATATGTGTCACAAAAAAAGAGAACTTAAAAGTTAAAAAATAAACTTAGAATTCTGAAATCATTTGCTAAGAAAGTAAAAAAATATCTATCATGATGTTTTGCCATTTATGTTCATTTGCAAATTTCAATATAAAAATTTATTTGCAAATAATAAGCCAGGCATTGTTCAACTTCATATATATACATAGCAGTTTTATATTTTTATTTAATCACTCGTATTATACCCGTTAAAATTTTTTAATACCCTTTAAGCAGAGAAATACCTGAACAGTAGACAAAGCAGGAGTCCTACATAACACAACATGAACCAAATATAAGTTTTTTTAAAAAAATATTTCATGTTTTACTAATATTTTCTAGAAAAAAAATAACACAAAATACTATTACAATTTTCCAAATTTACTAATAAACAGCTTAGAAAATGTGTTATAATGTGTTCACTATCAATGATGTTAAAATTTGATGTTACTATCCCATCTATGTCTAACTTACATTTGGCGTTTAATATACTCTTTAAGCAGTGCTTCTTCCACAGGATACACCTGTACACCTGTACCATCATCATAGTAATACATCATACTGGTATTAAGTTCTGTTTGAAATGGCTGATCAGTCCTTTCACCATGTTCTCGATAACCATACGAATAATCGAAGTTCACTTGACGTAAGAAAAAGAAAAGTGATTACACATTAAAAAAAGAGAGAGAGAGAAATAGTCACCATAAAGAAAAATCCAAAGTGAAGTATTTCAAGGGATAACAAATATAAAACCATCTTTATTATCAGAGCAAAAAAAAATCAGTTAAAAAATTATATGGGATAGCAGAGAAAAGAGGGCTTACATACTTTTTTCAAACTCATCTAATTTAACAAAATAAAAACACATGTCCTACATCGAGGATTTCCTCTGCCTCGTCCTCTTCCCCGTCCTCGGCCTCTTCCTCGGCCTCTAAAGGAACCTCGGATATTACCACCCTCACTCCTCACACTGGAAACTTCATCTTGATCGTCTCGCTTTTCTCTATCACGCCTCCAACCTTTAAAAAATATATATATATTTTTATACATTCCAATTTGCAACAGTGAATAACGTGATTATTTTTAGGAAAACATGGTAACTAACCCTCCCCACCTTGTACCTAGTTGTTAGTAACCAGGCATTCTTCAGATAGATAGAAATTTAAGAGATCTCATAGGAATTTGTCAAAATGTCCCTGGCATAAAAGAGGGCCCATAAAAGTACTGACATATAAAGAAGACATTCTAATAAACAAAATAATATACTAAAAAGATAAAGAGGTCCTTTGTTAAGATGGTACTGTTGAAGATTCAAGAAGTTCCAAGATGACTGAGTTTGCATTATATAAAACTTAAAAAAAAACCTTTTCACAAAATGTTTAAGGAAAGGTTGTCTCAATTTAAGTAAAAGACATTCCTTTTGAAGAAAAAAAGAGGGCGCCTGGGTGGCTCAGATGTTAAGCGTCTGCCTTCGGCTCAGGTCATGATCCCAGGGTCCTGGATCGAGCCCCACATCAGGCTCCCTGCTCCGAGGGAAGCCTGCTTCTCCCTCTCCCACTCCCCCTGCCTGTGTTCCTGCTCTCGCTCTCTCTCTGTCAAATAAAAATAAAATCTTTTAAAGAAAAAAGGAAATGAAAACACAAAACAAACTAGAAGAGGGGCACGTGGGTGGCTCAGTGGACTAAGGGTGTGCCTTCAGCTCAGGTCATGATCTTGGGGTCCTGGGACGGAGTGCACCCCTCCCCCAGCGTTGGGCTCCTTGCTCAGCGGAAAGTCGGCCTCTCCCCCTCCTCCTGCTCGTGATTTCTCTTCTCTATTTCTCTCTCAAATAAATAAAATCTTAAAACAAAACAAAACTAGAAGATACCTGCAGTACAATACAGGAATTATACCCAGAATACATACAGAATGCAGTAGTGCACATATACTGTACACACACACAGTAACTCAATGGGAAAAATGGCTAAAAGACAGGTAAGCAAACAAGAAATACAAATGGACCATAAATACAGAAAATGGCATTCAGCCTCATTGGTCATGAGAAATGCAAATTAAGACAGAGTATTTGATCTACCCCAGACTGACAAAATTTTAAGGTCTTATAATTTGAAACACTGACCAAGACAGAAAGAAGTAGAACTCTATACACCATTATTGAGAGCAAAGCCAGATACATCCTCTTTGAAAAACAATTTGGAATAATCAAATAAATTCGAAGGTACATATATATAGATCCTAGAGACCAAGGTTTTTCAACCACGGCACTACTGACATTTGAGCCAGACAGCTCTCTAAGTATGGGGGCTGGAGGATGTTTAGCATCATCCATGACCTCTACCCACTAAATGCCAGTAGCAGGCATTTACCCCACTCCCCTAAAACAGTATTATCTCCAGACAAAGCCAAATGCCCCCTTAGGGGTAGGGGAAAATCACTTCCATTGAGAATCACTGCCCTAGATGCTGCTATTCCTCCTTAATGAATATCTTAATACAGTCTTTTTCAAACACATCTGCCTCAGCCCACAGTAAGCCTTACTGTATGTTACACCCTAGAACACACAAAATTTTTTTTGTAATTTCAACACAACTGTTGGGCGCCTGGGTGGCTCAGTCAGTTGGGTGTCGGCCTTCAGTTCAGGTCATGATCTCTGGGTTCTGGGATGGAGCCCTGCATCGGGTGTCCTGCTCAGCAGGGAGTCTGCTTCTCTCTCTCTCTCTGCCCCTGCCCACCGCTTGTTCTCTCAAATAAATAAATAAAATCTTTAAAAAAAAAAAAAAACCCCACAATTGTCATGAAAAATATATTTTGAGTGAAGCACTCTAGAATCTACCAATATTTTAAAAACCTGATCATGACCCAGTACACCAATTTCATAATGCACTCATGGGCTGCAGTCTAAAGAAATTACCCCAAAGAATCTCTTGTACATGTTTACTGGAAAACATGCATAAAAATGTACATGGTAGCACTTTAATATGAAAAAACTAAAACAATCCAAAGGTCTATTAACAACAAATTCTATCAAATAGTGAAACACCTTTTGGCAAGGAAAAGGACTCACAGCAATACAACCAACACGCATGAATCTAAGAAAATGAGACTAAAGTGAAAAAAATTAGTGCCAAAGAGTATGTTAATGGAGTCATACTGAATGTCAGTTTCATGTAAAAAATACTCAAAAAACAAACATTCATGCCTTTTTTTCTAAGAAGAGAAGCAATGGGTTGAAATTGCAGGGGGCACACAGGGAAGTTCAAAGGTTAATGGCAATATGCATTTCTAAACTTGGTGCTGAGTTCCCAGTGTTGATTATATTACTGTTCTTTAAAACCCTCATGTTTTCTTATATGCCCAATGCTTCGTAAGAAAAAAATATTAATTATGGATATATATTATTTTTTTAACATTAAAGTGATATATTTGAGAAATGATACAAAGGCAAAAAATGTCAGTTTTTCTGTAGACAAGTTTCTTAATTTTCAAGTCATATTTTGTGGACAGCTGAGTAAATATAACTACATTTCAGATGATATTAGGGAATTATTGTTGATTTTCCTGGATGCTATGTTTTTTTAGGACAGCAGTGCTGAAGCATCATGACCGTCTGCAAGGTACTTTCAAATAATCCAATAGATAGGTGATTTAAATATACAAAATTACTAAATCTAGGTGGTGGTTAGACAGGTATTCACTGTACAATTCTTTCAACTTTTTGTGTGTTTAAAGTTTTTCATAATGTAAGTGGCAACTTTTAAAGGTACTATTAGGTTTCTAAATTTTCTTAAGCCTTCTCCATCCATTCATAGGACAACATGTATGCTTTGGGAATTATCATACTAGAAAAGTAACTGTCAGACTTAAGATTTCAGCAGAGACCTATAAAACCAAATGCTCATCTAATTGTTGCCACAAATCCTCCTACTGTCCTCTTCTGCTTTCTGAAATGTGAGAAATCCTATTGAAATAATGTATCTGGGAAATGATCTTTAAGTAATAACATTAAATGTGAATGCATTTTATACGTGTATAATTTATAGCTCAGTAAAGTTGACTTTTTTAAAAAAGAGCCAGAGGGGCGCCTGGGTGGCTCAGTCATTAAGCATCTGCCTTCAGCTCAGGTCATGATCCCAGGATCCTGGGATCGAGCCCCACATTGGGTTTCCTGCTCCGCAGTAAGCTTGCTTCTCCCTCTCCCACTCCCCCTGCTTGTGTCCCCTCTCTCGCTAGCTCTGTCCGTCAAATAAATAAACTTTAAAAAAAATTAATTAATTTAAAAAATAAATAAATAAATAAAAAAGAGCCAGAACCTACCCATCAGAGGCTCCCACTAGCCAAATCTGGGACAATCTGAGCATCAAACTAAAAAACCATGGTAATGGATTATAATCCACCAAAGAAATAAGCCGTAAATCCACACTGATAACAAGGAAGTTATTCCTTATACTGGAGTGCCAGATTATAGTAATAACTGAATCAGGCAAGAATCATCAATGGAAACTAAAGCTCATGTGAAAAGTCTGGTGAAAAACTGGGTGTTTCCAAAATTTCAAAGTCTCTCTCACAAAGTACATATTAATTATAAAGGAGAAAAAAGTATCTCTATAATAAAGAAACCTGGAGCACATCACCTTAATCAGCAATAATAAGATAAACCAAGATCATGTGCATTTCCATGCACTGAGAAGAAACCAATTTAACTTCTGCAGTATTCCTGCCAAAAATTCATAACCCAAATCTAATCATGAGGAAACACCAGAAAATCCGAAGTGAGATATCTACCACCTAACCACCTAAAGACAAAAACAGAACTGTCCCAGATTAATGGAGACTAAACAGAACAGACAACTAAAAGCAATGTATGATTTCAGATTAGATTCTGGAAAGGAGGGAGGAAAAAAAAACTGAAAAGGACACCACGGGGAAAATCTGCCTGTGGACAGTCACACCACATCACTGTTCTTATGATATATACTCTGAAGGTATTTAGTGTTAAAAGGGGCACAATGTCTGTAACTTATTCTCAAACAATTTATACTATAGTTATTAAAATTATGAACATTAACACTAAGTTCTTTAATGTCATTTTTCTCTTAGAATGTGACTTACTTCGTGTATCATTTCTCCTATTATTATGTGATGACTTATTTGTTTCCGGTTGACATCTTGAGCTGTTCCGGGATCCTGGTCTTTCTTGACTGTCTGGTCTTACATCATCTAAGTGGAGTGGTACCCACTTGTGCTTATTAGCTTGAAGAAAACCAAATAAGGTCATTTAATGACACTGCACAATTTTCATTAAAGCTTTGCAATTCTTTAGTTTGTCCTTAAAGGTTCTTATATAGAGGACTAAAATAATTTTCTTTTCACAGAACTCCTTGATAAACTTACCTGCGCAAATATTTCTAAAATTCATGTGAAAAGCCAGTTGATGGAATACCACTGGTATTCTTTTACTTTCAAGCAAAATGCTCACTCTTGTTTAATTCTGATGAATGAGCCATACATGTAATACACTACTCCTAATACTTGACTCCTTCACTTTAGAATGGGGTTTATCTGACAAGACATAATGTACACACTGAAAAAGTCTGCCTGATGATTCAAAACACTTTTAGTTTCAAGTCACTGTCCAAAATATTAATTTATCCAGCATTACTAATAATGAAAGGTTTCTCAAAATTAGAGAATAAAATTTGTCTAACTGCATTTGACAAATCTCTTTATAGCTACTACACATTTTCCTAAGACAAGAGATACAATTTAACTTCTCTTGTTGACTAAATGATAGCAAAATTGTTACACTACAGTGACATTCTCATTACTTAATTTGTGGAATCCATAGTTAAGGTTTCAAAATATTTAGTCTTCTACTCAATATATATTTTTTACTAAAACAGCAAGACTCATGCGCAAAGGAAAAACTACCAAGGTAATTAAGGGAAAGAGAATTATCAGTATGCAACTACAACACTGATTTCCTATAAATCCTGCAAACTACTCATAGATGAGGAAGAGAATAATGAAAGAATCTTAAAAAAACTTTAAATTCTGTACTATAAATTCTATCAGTGAGATTCTCTGGTATAAGCAAGCCCTTCATTTAAAGATTTAAAAAAAAAAAATGGGTGCTCTAAGGAGAGTCAATTCATGACTCTTGTATGAATTTATCTATAAAAACCTGGATTTTAGTGTTGGCTGATCAGTTTTAATTGAAGCAATTAACACAGAAGACAAATTTTAAAGCAGGATGACAGACCTATCATCTGTATTAATTCTAGACAGTCAAAAAGACGTATCTAAGAAGCATGAAAAAGCTAAGTGACAAAAATGTTTAAGAAATGGGTAAATTTTTTTCCTAACAACCACATGGTTGTACTGTTGCCAACCAGTTTTGAGCAATTAGCCTTGGCTCACTGCATCAACTGACCCTAACATGCTTACCCTGCAGCTAAGGATTAGATATTCATTTAAGAAAAAAATTTAAGTAAGTGCTCAATATACCGTAGATTGTTAGTTCCATTATTAAACAAGTTGGCTGGAAACTACACCTCATTATAAAATGTCCCCTCCCATGCCACATCACTTCCATGAATTAAAGTGCTTTAATGGCTTCCCATGGCATTCAAACTAAAATTCTAATTCCACATTACCAAAGCCCTGCACAACGTGGACCTTGCTTACCTTTCCCATAGCATCTCCTGTCACTTTTTCCAATGTTCACCTTGTCTCAGCTACTGACCTTCCAACAGTTTAAAGAACTTTTCTGCCTAAAGGCCCGAAGACACTTTTACCTAGGCTCAGAACACTGAATGAGTATATGCTTTTACAAAGCATTTAAATCATAATCTATCCCTAGACACATGAAAAGTTGTGTAAAAAATACGGAAAAGGATACAAAGACTGTCTTTTCTTCAAGGGGTAATTTAATGAGGAAATGCTACTAAAAGAAAGTTGACCAAAACTATTCTCACTTTTCTCTTAGAAAAATATTTTCTCAGAACTCCCTGAAAGGGGCGCCTGGTTGGCTCAGTCGTTAAGCATCTGCCTTCGGTTCAGGTCATGATCCCAGGGTCCTCAGATCGAGCCCCACATCTAGCCCCACATCGGGCTCCCCTGCTCAGCGAGCCTGCTTCTCCCTCTCCCTCTGCCTGCTGCTCTCCCTGCTGTACTCTCTGACAAATAAATAAAATCTTAAAAAAAAAAAAAAAAAACCCTCCTGAAAAACAGGGAGCAGTTCCAATGTAGACTTAAAGAATACTTATCACAAAACTTTTCAATATATTCAATATATCTTAAAAAATATATATATATCTATGCCTATCTCTATAATTGCAACTTCGTTATATACTTACATAGAGTACAAGTCAAATGCAAAAAAGGAAAGCCTAATAGTTCAAGAATGTTACAAAAGCACATCAGTTACCACTGCAGATGGTATCCAGAAGAAATCCAAATACCCACTGGTGACTACTAGGAATCAACTGATTAAATATAATTCATTACTATAACTTTCTTCAAAAAATTAGAATCAAAATGAAAATATAGTTAACCTCTCTTTCATTAATTACTTGACTGAGCCTCATCCTCAGTGATATTTTCACCAGAACCATCTAATCAAGACATGAAAACAACTTAAACAACATTGATAGATAAATGGATAAAGAAAATATGATGTATAAATATACAATGGAATACTATTCAGTCATGAGAAAGAAGGAAATCTTCCCATTTGCAACAACACGGATGGACTTTGCAGGCACTATGCTAAGTGAAATAAGTCAGAAAGATACAGTATGATGTTCATTACATGTGAAATCTAAAAAGGCTGAATTCACAGTAACTGAGAACAGAATGGTAGTTGCCAGGTGTGGGAGAAATGAGTGAAGGTGGTCAAAAGGTACAAACTTCCAGCTGTAAGACAAATAAGTTCCGGAGATGTAATATACAGCATGGTGACTACAGTTATCAATACTGTACTACGTATTTCAAAGTTGCTGAGACTAGACCTTAAAAGTTCTAATAAGAAAAAAAATATGACTGGGAGGTAGTAGATATTAACTAAAATTGTAGAAATCACTTCACAATATATACATATATCAAACCACTGTGTTGTGTACCTGAAACTACACAATGTTATATATCAATTATATCTCAATAAAATTGTAGGAAAAAATGAAGTTATAGATGAACTAACCTCTCTTTCGTTGATTACTTGACTGAGTCTCATCCTCACTGGCATTTTCACCAGGACCATCTAATTTTGTTTCCCGGCTTTCTTTGCTCTCACTGTTAATTCTCTTTTCAGCCTTGTCTTCTCTTTCTTTTCTATTTTGTGGCTTCTTATTTCCTTGGCTGATGACACTTTGGCACTGCAAAAAGTTTTTCTGAATGAAATAATTTCCATGAACATTTTCACTAACATATCCAAAAATTTGTGGTTAGTCAATCTTTTCTAAATACTGCAAAACAAATGACAGCTTTTACCAGAAATAAAAAACAACTTTTCAAAAGATACTGTTAAAAGTCAAGCCACAGACTAGGAGAAAATATTTGCTAAGTATCTGATAAAGCACTTGGATCCAAAATATATAATGATCGGGACACCTGGGTGGCTCAGTCCTTGAGGCGTCTGCCTTTGGCTCAGGTCGTGACCCTGGGGTCCTAGGATCAGAGTCCCGCATCAGGGTCCTGGCTCAGCGGGGAGCCCACTTCTCCCTCTGACCCTCGCCCTGCTAGTGCTCTCTCTCAAATAAATAAAATGTTATATATATATACACACACACACACGTATATATATATGTATATATGTATATATAAAATGATTTCTGAAAATGCAGTAGTAAGAAAACAACTCAATTTTTTTAAAAAATGAGCTACAGGGGCACCTGGGTGGCTCAGATGGTTGGGCGTCTGCCTTCGGCTTGGGTCGTGATCCCAGAGCCCTGGGATCGAGTCCCGCATCGCATCGGGCTCCCTGCTCCTTGGGACCCTGCTTCTCCCTCTGCCCCTCTCTCTCTGTCTCTCATGAATGAATGAATAAAATCTTAAAAAAAAAAAAAAAGGGCTACAATTGAACAGACACTTCAACAAAGATATACTGATAGCAAATATAAGTGGAAAGGTGCTGGCATCATTAGTCAGAGAAATGCAAATTAAAACTACAATGTGATGCCACCAAACACCTACCAGAATTACATTAAACGACTGACTATATCAAATATTAGTGAAGATGTGACACAACTAGAATTTTTATACACTGTTAGTGGGAATGAAGTTTGGTGGTTTCTGAAAAAGCTAAACCAATAGCTACCACACAATCCAGCCATTCTATTCCTAGGTATTTACCCAAGAAAAATGACATAATACATCCATGCAAAATTTTGTACACAAATGTTTACATAGCAGCTTTATTTTTAACAGCCAAACGCTGGAATCAATACAAATGTCCATCCATAGATGAACAAGCATTTCACTCATAAAATGAAGTACTACTCAGCAATAAGAAGGTATTAACTACTAATACACATTAATGACATAAATAAATCTCAAAATAATTAAGCTAAGTGAAAGCCGGGGGAAAAAAAAGTCATATTGTAGGACTCCACTTAAATAAAACTGTAAGAAATGCAAATTAATTATAAGTGACACAAAGCATATCAGTGGTTGCCTAGGTTGATGGGGGGAATATGACAGGAGGAATTACAAAGGAGTGTGAAGAAGCTTTTGGTGTAATGGTTAGGTCCATTATCTTGATTTCGGTGATGGTTTCACAGGTATATATAGGTCAAAACTTAGCAAACTGTATACTTCACATGCAGTTTTTTGTTATTTACACACTAATTAAGCTGTTTAGATATATTATCTACAACTACAAACCAAGAGTGTACAAATTACAAATAGCAAAGTGTAGTATCAAATGAAAACATGTAACCAGATAACCATATATGCTACCACTTCTCTAAAAAGCCCCTTGATGTCTGGGGCACATGGGTGTTTCAGTAGGGGGTCTGTTTCTCCCTCTCCCTCTGCCCCTTCCCCTGCTCCTTCTATTTCTCTCAAATAAATAAAACCTTTAAATAAATAAATAAAAAGCCTCTTGATAGAATATCTCAGAACCATCTTTTAGTTTCTTTCATTGTTTAAATTAAAAAATCAGGCGCCTGGGTGGCTGTTCATAAAGCGTCTGCCTTCAGCTCAGGTCATGATTTTGGGATCCTGGGATCAAGCGCCGCATCGGGCTCCCTGCTCAGTGGGGAGTCTCCTTCTCCCTTTGCCTTCCTCTGCCACCCTGCTTGTGCCCCCCACCTCTCTCAAATAAATAAATTTTTAAAAAATTAATTAAAAATCCATTCATTGAACACTTCTTGATTTGATATAAATCAAGACCAGATTTATATCAAATCAAAATTTGATACACACACATGCTATATAAATGCATGTGTGTGTATATATACATATATAATTAGCACTTCAATACATATTCAAAAAACTATATATCAAAAAACATAATATAGCAAATTCTGAAATAAAATGGGCTTCAAATTAGACTCATATTAAAAATTAATCTCTTTTGGGGCACCTGGGTGGCTCAGACTGTTGAGTACCAGGCTCCTGATTTCAGCTCAGATCATGATCTCAGGGTCGTGGGATGGAGCCCTGCCTCAGGCTAAGCTCAGCAGAGTCGGCTTGAGATTCTCTCTCTTCCTCTCCCTCTATTCCTCCCCCAGCCCCATGCATGGACGTTCTCTCTCTCAAATAAATAAATCTTTAAAAAAAATTTTTTTAATCTCTTTAATTGTTAGCATTACATGAAGATACAGCATGGTAACACCCCTTCCAAATATAAGATTACCTCCTGAGAATATAATGAGATGAAGACGTGATGGATAAAATCAGGTATCTGAAAAAGGGGTTAGACTATAAAAAGGATAGCTGCTAAGTTTTCAGCACTTCTTTATTAATGTAATTCTCTAAACCTGAAATAAATTTTGCATGTTGAAATGAGAATATTTTCCTTTTATTAAGAAAAAGCCTTAAAACAATACTCACTCCAGTGTTCACTAATTCACTTGGTGTTGGCCAATTCGCCATATCGCTGAAATCACTAGCCTAAGAAGTAATAAATAAGTGTTATATCTGCAAATTAGAAATCTTAAGTAGAAAAAATATTTTCTAAAAGTCAAAGCAATTTTAAAAATCACCTACATACAATTATATGCAAGCATTTGCCAAATTAATTCAACTCTCCAAACAACAGAACACTGAAATAACAATGCTTGGGTCTTATGATCTACCTTCTAGCACTATTAATGACACTAAATTGATTTACATAGGATAACAAAATAAATTAATATACACAGGATTTGAACAAAGGCTACAATTCTCTAGTATATTAACTTTAACCTAACACCAATGACACAACTAAGTACACAATAATCTAAGAGATTCTAACATACCAATTCTCAAACAATATAGCTAAGAAGAATATAGCTAAAAACATACCTTGTTGGATTTCTTTGTCTTGAGTTTTCCTGCTTTTATAATTTTGGGGGAACTGAGCTCTAAAAAAAACAAATAAAACAAAACAAAAACCACAGAATTAAGTGGGGTTTTTTTTGGTTTTTGGGGGGTTTTTTTAGAATTGGTTTTACAATCACTTAATTCAATATATTTAACAAAACAACTATTATATCAATTTCAGTAAGCCAGTGTCATCATTTCCAACAAAATCCAGAGTTTTGAAACTCAAATTCTTAACAACAAAAAATCAACTATAGTTCAAACACAGATTCAAATTGGTCTTTAATGTTCAAATCAAAAGTGAAAAATAGCAGTTTACTTAAATTAAACTGATAGACCAATCCTTTCTCTGACAGAATACAACATGAAAAAATTAGAAATATAACATGTTTTAATAAAGTAAAGTTAGTAACTCACTTCCCAAAGGGATACATTTTGCTATATAATTCATAGATTGACATTCATCAAGGACTATCCAGAAAATAAATCAAAAGACTTCAAACTATTTGTCCTTGAAAACAAACAAGTATGACAACCACAATAGGTTGTATATATATGAAGTCATAAAAAAATAGAAGTTTGTACAAAACTATCATGGTATTACCACTTATCCCATCTTGAATAAGACGACAGTGGTTGACAATAAAATAGATAAAGAGACCGAGAGAGACTGACTCTCTAAATGAAACTTTACACTGTTTTTTAGTTTGGTTCATTACTTACAGCAAGATGACCAGATGGGTGTGTCACCTACCTAAACATGAACTAAATATTGAAAAGCAGAATAAACTTTGGATCTGTATCTACAGAAAAACAATAATCCAGCAAAACATGAACCCATAAAATCATGGCAATGACCAATTCATAGAATAAAGCAATCTTTGAGTTAAAACTCAGAAGCAGATTTTAAAAAAGAAATAGAAAACTTATCAGAGGGATGAAAGATTAAGATGTCACCAGGGATAGACATAAAAGAATCTCGGATATTATAGTAATTCTATTCCGAAAGCAAAATAACTAGTACACAGGCATTTCTTTTGTTCTTCTAAGTATACATATATGTGTATGTGTATACACGTATAAATGTGCATAGGATAAGACATTTCATTAAGAAAAATTAGATAAAAAAATATGGGTTAACAGCACAAAAAAATGGGGACAGGAAAAAATCTAATTTAATAAAGAACAGTATCTGCCTGAACGTTATCTAGAATTTGACTGATGTTCTATATATATACTATGTATATTTTATGAAAACTATACAATACAGAACATTTGGAGGACTTTCCCCTCAACAAAGTGGAAAACATGTCCCAAAATATTGCTAAGTCAAGTAAGTTAAGTACCTGGTAGTTACAGAATAAAGCCTTATACAAAATATTTAATGAAATGGAAAATAATAAGGGAGAGGGCACACAAGCAGATTTTATTTAGCTTTATTACAAATCAATTAGACATTAATAATCACAAAATTAAGGTCAGAAACTAAAGATAAAAAATTATTCTGGTCATATAAAAATAAACTTTTTAACTTCATTACTAAATGGCACAATTAAGTTATTAACAAAATTTTCTATTGATTTAAAAACCAATACAGTTTCATACTCCATTCAGACATTGATTATAACCTCTAGCTAAGCATGAAAAAATACGTTAGGGAGGAGTATTTCTTTGCAAATTTAAAAATTTTAAAAAGGAGATTTTAATTTTAGCAGATTCTTTTAGACTCAAAATTTTTAATTTTTCTTTAAATCTTAATCCCTCAACTTTACTCCTCAGAAAATTTGGTGGGAAAGTTTACATTTAACTCTGTGGCATAAATAATGCTGACATTTTAGTGGAGTACCGTTATGTACACATTGTAACTGGGATGTTTATGTACATGTTATCAATATAATAATTTAATCTCATCACAGAGTATCTGACAAACTATGATGGCCAATGTGGTTGGATACTCTGCAATACAAAACAGTGATTTCTTAACATTTGTTTCTGAATGGTCCTTAAGAGTTAATTTACTCTTCCAAGAAGAAGACTTTCCCAGAACATTCCTGTTCCCAAATTCCAATTTCTACCATGGAAACAGTAAGTTTCCTGATTAACAAGTTTAGAAAAAAATCCTGAACCTACGAAGCCAGCATCTTTTCCTCTTTTTCCTTTAGGGCACTATCCACAAAAAGCAAGCATCGTGGGATGCCTGGGTGCTCAGTCATTAAGCGTCTGCCTTAGGCTCAGGTCATGCCAGGGTCCTGGGATCGAACCCCGCATCGGGCTCCCTGCTTTCTTCCTCTCCCACTCCCCCTGCTCGTGTTCCCTCTCCTGCTGTCTCTGTCAAATAAATAAATAAAATCTTAAAAAAAAAAAAAAAAGCAAGCATTGTGGGCTGCTGTTTCATGCTGTCACCTTCACAGGGACAGCCTCCTCAACCAGATAAGAGGACCTGCAGTCACGGTGCAACACCAACTATGTGAATACATTCGTCTCATTCCAAGTTCAACATAAAGAAGTCCTTTGTGCTGCTCACTCAGACCAGCTCATCAACTCAGACTTTTTCATTTAAAAGGTTGATAGTTAAGCTGGGCGCCTGGGTAGCTCAGTTGGTTAAGCTTCTGCCTTCCACTCAGGTCATGATCCCAGAGTCCTGGGATCAAATCCCACACTGAGCCCCCTGCTCAGCAGGGAATCTGCTTCTCCCTCCGCCCCTCCCCCGCTGCTCGTGCTCTCTCTCAAGTAAATAAAATCTTTAAAAAAATAAATGAATAAACAAGAGGATGATAGTAAGCTGTAAAAAAAATAAATTTTGAAAAACCTGAGAATCACTAAATTCTACTACTGAAACTAATATTATACCATATGTTAACTAAAATTTAAATAAATAAAAACTTGAAACATTAAAAAAAATCTGAGTAAAAGATGAACAAATGCTTTTAAAAAGAAATACAGGGGGCTGGGGCAAAATACGTGAAGGGGAAGAGAGATACAAGCTTCTACTTATGGAGTGAATAAATCATGGGAAAAGGCACAGTATGAGAGGGACATAGTCAGTGATACTGTAACAGTGATGTAAAAGGGACAAATGATAGCTACACTTGTGGTGAACGTAGTATAATGTATAAACTTGTCAAATCACTAAGTTGTACAAATCACTAAGTCAAAACTAATGTAGCATTGTATCAACTATACTCAAAATATAATTAAAAAAACGAACATAAAATGGCATTCAATTGTACTAATAAAGAAATGTAAACTAAAACAAAACACTTTTTACCTATCCTATTGACAAAAAAGAGAATGCCAAGTGTTGGCCAGCCTATAAAGAAATGGACATTTCTCGGGGCACCTGGGTGGCTCAGTTGGTTAACCAACTGCCTTCAGCTCAGGTCATGATCCCAAGGTCCTGGGATGGAGCCCTGCACTAGGCTCCCTGCTCAGCGGGGAGCCTTCTTCTCCCTCTCCCTCTAGTTCCTCCCCTGCCTGTGCTTGCTCTGTGTCAAATAAATAAAATCTTTAAAAAAAAAAAAAGAAAGAAAGAAAGAAATGGGCGCCTGGGTGGCTCAGTTGGTTAAGCGACTGCCTTCGGCTCAGGTCATGATCCTGGAGTCCCGGGACCGAGTCCCACATTGGGCTCCCTGCTCAGTGGGGTGTCTGCTTCTCCCTCTGACCCTCTTCCCTCTCGTGTTCTCTATCTCTCATTCTCTCTCAAATAAATAAAATCTTTAAAAAAATAATAAAAAATAAAAATAAGAAAAGAAATTGACATTTCTCTCATGCTGTTGGTAATAGTGTAAAGTAGTATACTCTCTCCAGGGTAATCTGTCATTTAAATTCTATATACCTTTTAATAAAGCAATTCCATTTCTGGAAAATTACCTGGGAAGCAAGATACAAAGATGTCTGTATAAAATGAAAGAAGCCCACCAGGTTTTAAAAATATTTTATATACACATAGAGAACAGGTAAAACAAGCCTAAGAAAGGTAATTTCTTTTCATGTATACCAAATTCTAAGTTACAATTCCACTTCTTTCCAAAAAATATAACCACACTAAGTGAAATGCATACTATGATTTTCTTCCAACTTCTCAATTTAAGGAATAACAAAGGATGAGGTAAGAAAGAATTAATGGAATCCTAAGATACAATATATAATTAGCATCATAACCAACAAAAATGGGCTTAGTGCTATAACCCCGGTTAGATGGTAATAATTCTCTTATCTCTCTGCCCTTCTTTGCTGGATCTGTTTTGTTTTCTCCATAATTGATACTTTTGTGAAAAGTTTTTGCTTGAATGTGTTAAGAACACAATATATCTTTTAATAAAAGAACAACCCCCACCGTATTTTTTTTTTTTTGACCAAGACTCTCAGGGATCTATTAAAAGTCCAAGAAGGTGGAAGACCTAAAGCCTCACTCCCCTTTTTTTTAAATTAACATATAATGTATTATTTGTTTCAGGGGTACAAGTAAGAAAGGTAATTTTAACTCCAAGTTTCCCATGTTTTAACTAAAATGGAGGAAATTGCTCTGCGTGTTTGCAGAGAAAACCTAAGACTGAAAAAGCAAGCCAGCCTAGAAAATTAAAAAATTTTTAAAAATTAAAATATATTATGTATACATTTTTTTCCAAAACAGATGAAACATAAGAAAAAGCCTCCATTGGCTTTAAATATACATGAACAGTGTGTGATCTTCATATATCTATTTTTCAAGTTATCACTGGTAAGACACTATACTACTGCAACTTTTTGAGTAATAGTCCAGTATCTTAAACCATTGTTCTTTAACTCTAGGAGTCTATAAGCTATAATCTATAATTCTAAATTGATAAGAAAAACAATCCATTTTTAAGGGCTTGGACACAGAAACAAAAACTGCAACACTATTACCTAGTGAGGCAGATGCAACATCCTTAATTGTTAACAGTGATTTAATATGCATCATTAGGATTGAAATCCCTTGTTATTCAAACTGTGAAATCTAAATCAGCATCACTGACATCTGGGAACTTACTAGAAACACAGAATATCAAGTCCTACAGAATCAGATCTGCATTTGAACAAGACTAGTGGATTCCTAAACACATTAAAATTTGAGAGTTGCTAGTATAATCGGTTCTTTAAAGACTGACTCTATGGCTAACCCCTTAAGAAAGATGTCTGTTACAGTATGATTGCATTAAATCATAATTTTAAAAAGTCAATTTTTTTTTCAAATTAATAAAGTCCACAAATTGAGTACCATTTAAATGAAAGCCATTGTTGTGGACAATATACAAACATCAAAAGACAGCCTTTACCTCAAAGAACATGACAAACTAGAACAAGAGATAAAACATGTGAATGTATAACCCCAGTACAAGGCACTTAGGGATGATTTCTGAAAGAGAGCTATGAACTATTATGGGAGAGCAGCTCAGAGAGGCAAGAAGACTACATACAAGAGTCAGCATTTGAACTTGTTTTTCAAGAATAAACAGAATTAAAACAAAGGGAAGGATGATAAGCAAAACCTAAACAGGCAGGAAAACTTAAGCCATTTATCCAAAACACAGGGTACATAGAAGGCAACATAAACAAAAAGCTAGAAAGGTAGGGTAAGACCAGACACATTGTAGGTTCCCTCCCAATTTAAGTACTCTCTTCTCTTGTTAACAACCAATATACCAATGTGTAGGATATTTTAGTTTTTTTTGGGGGGGGGAAGAAATGCAACATCACAGGGACAATTTTACTCCAATTTTTACGGCTATAATCTTTAGCAAAGTTTTAATTAAGAAAATGTACTGGTAATTACCAATATTTCACATAATTTTATATTTAAGGGAGAAATGTAGTAAAATGCCATTTTTGCCATTTTGCTACAGTGAGTGCTTTAAAAACTACTTAATTCTCGTACTCTAAAAGTGGGAGTATCGATTTGTACAGTCACTTTGGAGAACAACTTGTCAACTAACAAATACCCCGTGACCTAACAATTCCAATTCTCATCATCTATCCTAGAGAAAGTCAGACATATATACAAGAGGTATGTAATTTTTAAAGGAGGCTCCACGCTCAGTGGCAGGGGGTGGGGGGGGCTTGAACTCACTACCCCAAGATCTACCAACTGAGTCAGCCAGATGCCCCCAAACTCACTTATGGTAAAGAGAAAAAATAAAAAGGTCAATCAACTTTAAACTAAAAATGGAGGATGATATGTTCTAAAAGCATATACAAAACACTGTATTTGGAAGTAAGAAAGATCTGAAAGGATATTCAGTAAACAGGCAGCATTATTATCTCTTTTCTTGGAGACATCAAAACAAGCAGAATGTATTTATGTATCATTTATACAACTTACTTAAAATGTTTTTAGGGTAGTAATAAGCTTATTTGAGGTTTCTGGGAAGCAGACATTAAGAAAAAGGAGAGTTGATGAGGTCAGAGAAGACTAAGGATGAAAAAGATGGAAAAAAATCAGTATTTTTATATACCATGTTTTCATTGAGTAAAAGAACTGAAATTATATTAGAAAGCTGATTTTTGGTATGTAGAATATAGCCATAGCTACAAGTAAGAAATTAATAAATCCCATACTGTGATTTTAATACAGGTCTCCAAAATAAATGTACTTTAAACAAGATTAGGACAGATTGTGGGACAATCCTTTCTGGTCTCCTGACTGAATTCAAAACTGCTGTGACACTATTCTAGGCCTCTTGGATAGCCAGGCTTTGGTTGAAAAGAAGGCCTTGGGGCGCCTGGGTGGTTTAGTCGTTAGGCGTCTGCCTTCAGCTCAGGTCACGATCCCAGGGTCCTGGGATCAAGCCCCGCATCGGGCTCCCTGCTCCGTGGGAGGCTTGCTTCTTCTCCCTCTCCCACTCCCCCTGCGTGTGTTCCCTCTCTTGCTGTGTCTCTCTCTAAAAAAAAAAAAAAAAAAAAGCCTTATCTAGACTAAGAGAAACAGCAATACACAGGCCAAAACCATCCTAAAAGTGGAATAAAGTATCTCACAAGGACTGAAGAAGCAAGAATGATTCACTTGCAGTTCAATTAGAACTGCAGGTTCTAACAGAGAAAATTCATGATCATCTGTCCCAAAATAATCCCCTTCATTTGCTATGTTTCCATCTCTGATAATGAAGTCTCTGGCAAAATTTTGTGGATGGAATCTCTGTGCCTCATTAAGAGAGTGACAGCAGATCCAGGTTTGGCCAGGACAAGCATGGTTTAAGTCTGTTATTCCAGCATAATTAATATCCTTCTCTTTGCCTCTACAGTATCCTGGTTTGTAGGATAAATTACACAGGCCCCCTACTAATAGATTATCGCCAGTTTGCACCTACTCTGAACCTTTAAAGTCCTCTGCTATTTCATTGTTCTTTAAGTTGCAAATTTGCTTTGGAAAGCAGAAAGCTAAGGCACCCCAGGTTGTAGATGGCACTCTGGTATTGACTGGAAGAAATGAATACACCCTTTTCATTCATTTACATGGCCCAGAAAAATTGCCAAAAGTCAACTAGCTAGTTAGTAACAATATGTGCACTAGAACCCAAGTCTTTCAGAACAGTGCATTTATATACCATAATCTCTAAATTACCCAACTACAAAAAGAAGTTGTGGTAGAACAGTCAGTACTGGGGAGAGTTTATAAGTTACTACACTACTCCAAGTAGTGAAGAATGGTATTCCTCTAAGCACAGAATGGATTCCAAAAATAGAAGAACTGCCTACAGAGAGCCATCAGCAAAATGGAAATTCCCATGAACCACAACATAGCTCAAGCATCACCTTGTTCTTAATCTCCAACAAAGATGAGATCCCCAGTGAAGGCACCTGAGGTTAATTGAACTGTTAAATACTTTTCAAAAGGACATTTCCAATTAAGATTCCTGAGTCCTATCTTGAAAGTTTTAAAACCTGTCAAATTAGCTTTACAATCAAAAGTTCATTTTTTGGGTAGTTCACTGAATATAAATTTTAACTGTGTAAGTCTAGAAGTAGAGAGGTTGGACAGCCCATTAAGGTTCATTAAGGGCTTTCTTTCTCTTTGCTAAATTTATGGAGATTATACTTTAAGATTTTTGTTTCCTTCTGGGGCGCTTGGGTGGCTCAGTCTTACCTTGGGCTCAGGTTCATGATTGAGCCCCGCACTGGGCTTCCTGCTCAGCAAGGAGCCTGCTTCTCCCTCTCCCCCGTTTGTGCTCTCTCTAGCTCTATCTCAAATAAAATAAAATCTTAAAAAAAAGATTTTTGTTTCCTTCAGTTAGTGACAGTAGTAAACAAATATATCTTTGCAGCTAGAAGAGAATGGTGGTAATATTAAATTTAGAGCAAATTTCTAAGTAGTTTTTTTCTGCAAGTGTCAAATTTATCAAGAATAATGAATATTAAGGGTGCCTGGGTGGCTCAGTCAATAAGCATCTGCCTACGGCTCAGGTCATGATCGCAGGTTCCTGGGATTGAGCCCCGCATCAGGAAGCCTCTCCCTCTCCCGCTCCCCCTGCTTATGTTCCCTCTTTTGCTGTGTCTCTCTGTCAAAAAAGTAAATAAAAATCTTTAAAAAAAAAAAAAGAATAATGAGTATTACTATGTAAAAGCTAAAGAAATCAATTAACACTTGTCTCACTCCATTGGAGTTCCTCTGAAGAAATGTTAATATACCTGCAATATAATGTATTTATAATAATCACCTTACAGTTATAACATCTTTTGACTCACTTGATCCTCACAACCCTGTAAACATGCTCACATTTTCCCCATTTTATTGTTAACCTTTAATTTCAAGAAAAAGTGAAGATACGCAAGTAATCAGCTGTAATTTCCATATAAAAAGTTCAATTAACTTACTAAAACTTAATTTAGAAAATAAAACTAGGAGATACTACTTTTTGTTATTTAATATTTCCATTTAAACTTAAAAACAAACAAAAAAACTACAACCAAAATAAAGCACCCAGGGCCATACTGTATTCGTCAGCTTTCAAATGTTGTGGCATAATCTAACCTCCTCTAAAGAGAGAGGACTAACCGAATGTTAAGACTATCATTTACCTACTGTGCAATCCACTCTCATGTCAACTATCCTGTTCAACTGTTTTCCACCAAAATCGCAATTCCAAGCATTTTGTTGGCAACTACGGTATAGTCTCATTCTTAATACGACCTTTCTTGTTTCCAAAACAGATTTTCAGCTTATCAATTATATCACAACGAAGAAAATACAATCGCGCTTCCACTTATAAATAAATCCCCTTGCTCCGACTTGCTTCACGCCCCCCCCCTTTTTTTTTTTACAAGTCCACAAAAACTTTTCTATAGGATGAACTGCACTATCTACCTATAAAGTTAGCTTTCCCAAGTCACTACCACGTTTTGAGGGGGTAAAACTCAACGGAAGCCGCGCCAGTCGAACTGCTCAGCGACGTTACTCCCGCAGTGCCCCCACCAGTCAAGGAGAACCCGAGGTCCCACCTCTTCCTGCCGCTCCCTTCCCAGATGTCCATTTATGTAAATAGGCAGAGTGAATGACACCTTGGAACAAAATACCTCCGACTGTCAGGGGAAGGAGGCCTGCCCCTCCCCCAGCCCCACGACAGCCTCTACAGCCAAGCATATCACCCCTGCACACACCCTCTCACTGCCCACCGCAAAAAAACCCACAGACCTGCCTCCAGGGTTTCCAGTGAGGACGGCGCCGGTCCCGTCCCGACAGGGGGCAGGTGCTGGGGAGGCTTTTTGGTCCAGGGGTTCTCCTTAGGCGGCGGCGGCGGCGGCGGCTTCAGCTTTTCCTTAGGGCCGGTCGCCGCCTCATCCTCCAGGGCGCCCTCGGCCGGCGGGTCCCTCGGCAGGGGTGGCGGTGGTTCCCCGCCGAAGGGGCCCCCGGGCCCGCGCGGCTTGTGCGCCAGGTGCAGCGCCAGGGGTCTCACGGGCACGGCCGCCTGGGGCACACTGTGCCCCAGCACCAGCGCCGGCGACGGCTCTCCCCGCGCACCCGCGATGATGGCTGTCGCGGCCCTCTCTTCACTCGCCGCCAACTTGCCCTCCCGTTCGGGCGGGGACAGCTGCTCGGCCTGCCGACTCGCCGTTACCAGCGACTCCTTCTCAGCAGCCACCGCGGATGGCTCCTCCCGAGAGTGAGCGGCGGGCACCGCAGCGCGAGCAGACATCGTCCCCTTGCCCCAGCCACCCCAGCCGGGGGGGGGGGCCCGGGGCCAGGGAGCCCGACTGCCCCTCTCTCCGCCGGGGAACCGACTGGCTCCGGCCTGGGGCAGAAAACCCGAAAGCCCGGCCACCGCCGCCCGCGTCGGCCGACGCCGTGCAGCGCCCGGCGTGCCGCCCCTCCCCGCGTGGAACGGAGCGGTAACCGCCCGCCGGCCCAGCCCGCCTCACAGGCTCACGTCCCGAGCCAGCCAACAAGCGCCGGGCGCCGCAGCCGGGAGCCGCGAGCCCTCACCTGGCGCAGGCAGCGGCGAAGGTGCTGCGAGCCGGGGCTGGAGGACCTCTAGCAGAGTCAAGGAGGCGCGTGCCCCCAGAGCCGGTAACAGCTCGCGGGTGCGGGGGCGGGGGCGGGGCGGGGGCGTGGAAGGGGCGGTCCCAGTGGACAGAGCGGGGGCGGGGCCTCCCGAAGGAGCGTGACGTGGCTACTCACCGGCTCTTGCCCTCGCCAGGCCGCCGCCTGCCGTGGTTGACTGACGAGTCTGTCCGGGTGCCGCCCGGCCTAAGGGCCGGCCCCGCCCCAGCGGCCAGCAGAGGGGGAGGGAGGGCGAACTGGACGATTCCGCAGCTCGCGGACTACCGCGGCCCGGACTGCGGGAGCAGGGGCGGGCGCTAACGGGGCCTCTGTGACTCGCCGCGCAGTGGCGCTGCGCTCTGCCCGGTGCGGGCAAGGGGCGGGGCGGCCTACGCACGTGGCGCCTGACAGGTGGGGCGGTCTCTTTGCCCCAGGCCAGGACGCGAAATTGACTCGAGGAGGGGTGGTCTCTACCGACGACCCTGGGCCGTTTCTTTACGAGCCAGGGTCCCGGACGGGGCCGTTTTGCCTTTGTGTCAGTCGCTTCGCCCGGTGAAAAAGTTTCCCCCTGAGGTTTTGGCGCACCTCGATCACTTGTAATCCTGAGCCATGTCCAGAATGGAAATTGTGTAATTTGTAGGTAACTGTTTATGAAACCTTTGCCCAGGCAATTGGTTTAGTGAACTACCCGCCTTCATTTCCACCCTCGAACTGAAATATTTTTGAAGTGCTCTTGAGTAAAACAAATGGTTAATATTTCGCCGACTTCTTGTTGTTGTTACACGTTCCTTTAATTTGTAGAGATAACACTTGTTTACAAATTAACCATGTTTCCTAATATTTTTTCCTGGAATGGATATGTTTAAAAGTTACAAATATGTTTTAACTCCAGTAAGAGCTTTATACTTAGCACTGAAATTCAGTGAGTGATAATATTGATTTCATGGGCGTGGATTTATAAGTCACTAAATGTTTATGTTCTTGTGCAAGGTCGCTGAAAATGGATTTGACCCAGTGAATATTTTTTCACCAAGGGACACCCCCCCCAAAAAATATCTGTGTCCACCGTTTGTATGCACTTGGCAGTGGGTCCCTCCTGGCTTCCTTTCGGGCCGCCAAACTAGGCAGAGAGCTTATACAGGACTCTTCTCCCAGGGCTCTCGCTTCAATCACATTAAACGCGAGATTAATATTTTTATTTACTCAGAAGTTGTACTAGGCATAATTTTTTATTTCCCTAAGGTTAGTAAACTAGTCATACAACAGTTATAAATAAGACCTTTCTTGTTCTCCGTATCACTGATTTCCAATTTATCTGACCCTAAGCAACTTTTGGAACCCCATTACCAGTTAAATAAGTATTGTACTTACCTATATTCCCAAGGAGGCGCCATCTTTACTAGCCCCGTTATTGGTAAAGCTTTGTTTCGTTAACTATCAACTAGCTCCTCTTCCTGTTGTTAATCAGCCTTTTGGAGTCCTGCCAGGCAATGCTGGTTTTGTTTACAAAAGCTCAGCAAGTTCAAGCTGGATGTGACTCAGAGAACACATTCTATTTTACCTTTTTTTTTTTTAAGATTTTTATTTATTTGTCAGAGAAAGAGTAAGGGAGAGAGCACAAAAGGGGGAGTGGCAGGCAGCAGGAGAAGCAGGCTCCCTGCTGAGTGAGGAGCCAGACTTTGGGAATCAGTCCTAGGACCCTGGTATCAGGACCTGAGCTGAAGGCAGACGCTTAACCGACTGAGCCACCCAGGCATCCCTTCACCATCTATTTAAATACAGGTGAATTAAAGATGGATTCTGTTGAAGAGAAGGTTATGGAATGGTTTTCCAAAGTTAGGTTCATATGGGCTACCTAACCGTGGTTGGTGGCTTTGTTTGTTGCTGTTTTGTTTTGTTTTGTTTTGAAGTGAAGAATTGTAGAGGTGCTTTACTGAAAAAACACAGAGGGCTTTCTTGGAAATAGGTTGTGTTTGCAGGAAGAGAAGAACTGGAAGGTAAATGTGTACTCAGAAAGGTCTCTAAAGAATTCAACAGTTGGGGGGCACCTGGGTGGCTGAGTCGGTTAAGTGTCTGCCTTTGGCTCAGGATCCTGGGATTGAGCCCCGAATCGGGCTGCCTGCTCAGCAGGTTGCCTGCTACTCCTTCTCCCTCTGCTGCTCCCTCTGCCTGTGTACACGTACGTGCTTTCTCTCTCTCTCTCTCTCATTAAAAAAAATCTTGAAAAAAAAGAATTCAACAATTGGTACTTGGGGATCATCATTGTAATGCAGTACCGCTAATGTCAGCGAAGCGAGTTGGCAATTTGTTGTCCCTCCTTTAAGTACATATTAATAACTCCTATTTCCATGTAACTGCCTCTTGGAAACAACTTCACCTATCTTCTATTTGCCTCTCCACCCTTTTCCTGCCCTTGTGCCAGGCAGGGCTGACCTGTACAGATTGCACCGATGGATTCCCTCACAGTTCTTGGTATCTCACAGGGTTCAGGCAGTAGGAAGTATCTATAAGAGATAGGAGGCCAGAAGATAGTGAGGTCAAAGTCCATATTCCCCAAGCTGGTGAATTCCATATTCACCCAGGACTAACTGCAGAACCTTCTGTTCAGTTAATCTCTCCCAATTCTTCCCTTTGTCCCTTCAGGCCTAGTCATAACTGCTAGTCCTTGGGATATTGCATTATCTCTTGTTGGTTTTCCTGAGTCTTGGACTGTACCTCTGTGAATCACCCTTTTATTAATTCTATTCTAAAAATTATGCAGTTTAAGCTTTCCATCTGATTTTTTTTTAAGATTTTATTTTTAAGTAATCTCTACACCTGATGTGAGACTCAAAGCTACAACCCTGACATCAAGAGTCACACACTCCACCAGCAGCCAGCCAGGTGCCCCCATCCAATTTTTGATGGGACTTTGACCTAATTTGCCTTTGCTGAAGCTCCATTATGTTAAGTCATTTGGCCTCTGCTGCTACTTGCCAGATTCTTCTCTGCTTCTTAGTTTGAAATCAGGGAAATCAAGACAGATTGGCTCAATTTATTTTTTGTAGCCAAATCATTATCCATCTTCCTATGGATCATTTGCCCTTGAATAGAGTCCCCATCTAGCCTGGAGGAACAAGTTACTTGGTTCAAAGGAGCCAAAGGAACCCAGGCACCCCAAAAAGATTGGGTTTTTAGGAGGACGTTCTGAGCCATCCTTACCTCCAAGTTAACAGAGACTTGGGCCCTGTTTATCAGAATAATAGCTTTCATTATGAGCTGAATGCTCAGATAAGTACTGCATACTTCCAATTATCTTTAACCTTCAACGAAGGGTCAATGCTAATGTGTGTTTGAAATGCTTTGTACCTTCTTTTCAGTAAATAAGTATCAATCTTAGCTACAGTGAAAATAAAAGTACCTTTAGAAAGTTTTGAATTTTTGCTCTGTTTTTACTTAACTGTATCATACAAATAGGTAAAAACACTGTGCTCGCTATGCAAACATGGGTTCAAAACAAATCTAGGCTACCTTTCAACCAGATTGCTGTTCTTAAGTGGGTTGCTCTCTACTTTTTGGTAGGTTTTAATAGACCAGTGTAACAGAAGTAGAAACTCTAAAAAGAAGTGTCTTGTCTAAGAACTCTCAGCCAATAATAGCTAAGGTTGATATTCTAAACTCTTTCTTGTCACACTATTTAGCCGCCTTTCTTTTACAATAACTTGTAATGACACAAGTAATAGGAAGTAATATTTAAATTTTTTTAAAAATACTATAAAAATAAACTTATAAGCTCAAGGGAGCATAACTTTTTCTTTTCCAGCTTTCAAAGAACAGGACTTTCAAACAATAAGGTTAGTAATCTGTCTGAATTCTTTGTACTATCCAGTTATATTTAATATTAGTATAGCCTTAAAATACTAATGATAAAGGATAGTTGGAAGAAAGGCAGGCAGGGACAAGGACCCCCCCACCAAGAGGAAACCACCCTTAAAAAGATTTTACACCACCCTGGAAGGAGCCCTCCACCCTTTTCCACATGTTAGATGACAAAAACTGATTGGATGACAGGCACTAATCTAATTAAAGGTTAATTAGATTAAAACAGCCCTCCAACAAGCCCCTAAAAAACCCCTACACTTAGAAACTCTGATGGCAAAAGAAAAAAAAAAAAGAAATTCTGATGTCAACCCTCTAGGGTCCCCTCCCGCTTTGGGAGCTTTGTACTCTATCATTCAATAAACTTTACTATCACTCAGTAAACTCTGTTTTGCTGCCCGCCGTTCTTGGGCCTACCTCTTCATTCTTCGAAGCAGCGTGACTGAGAACCATGGGCACTAATGAAGAAGAAATCCTCTAACGCTAGCAAAACAAAGATGAGATCTTTAAATTCAAGTTCAGATGAACTTCAGTGGTTGACATCAGAAAAAATTAGCTTTCGGGGCGCCTGGGTGGCTCAGTTAAGCGTCTGCCTGTGGCTCAGGTCATGATCCCGGAGTCCCAGGATTGAGTCCCGCATTGGGCTCCCTGCTCATGGGGAGTGGGCTTCTCCCTCTGACCCTCCCCTGTCTCCAGCTTTCTCTCTCTCTCTCTCTCTCCCTTTCTCAAATAAATAAGATCTTTAAAAAAGAAAAAGAAAAAAGAAGCTATGTATAGAAATTAAGAAAAAGTTCACAGCTTCTTAATACTTGTGGCTTATTTTAATCTATTGAATAAATGTTCACTGAAAACTAGGCTGGACTCGGGATATACTAGTGAACTGGTCAATTTAGGGACTCTCACAGAGAGGCAGAATGCATTGTGCAGTGGCTTTCATACCTCATGAGTTGATATGTACAATTGAACCAGAGGTTTTACAAACCACAACTTATCCCTACTAAATGAATACATTCTTATATGATCTATTCTGTTCCATTTCACTTTTTTTAAAAGCACTAAATTAGTTTCATGGCACAGGTTCAGATTGTAACCTACAGTTTAAAAAAAATGACAGTAGCACAATGATTAAAACTAGATTATCTGGGTTCAAATTGATGAGGGAGCAGAAGACTAGCTGAAGACAAAGGGGACTCTTGACTCTCTCACTCTTCTTCCTAAATAGATGTGGGGGCTTCTCCCTCACTCATTTCCTGGGTTAATGGCTATAACTGTAGCCAACTGTGGTTATTCTACCTTGGGACGGGGACTTTAAGGAATATTCCCAAGCAGCTGCCGAAACTCCCTTTGTTTCAGGGAAATTCCATCTTCTCTGGCCCCACATGGACTGCCTGTTCCCCTTGTTGGTTGGGAAAACATGGTGTCTATTCTTCTGTTGGAGCTGATGAGCTCTAGAACCTACAACCCTTTCTCTGCCTTCTGGCGACACTTTGCTTCTTCTGTCTGCCTTCCCCCTTCTTTCTGCGGTACCTTGGGTACAGCCTGCCTAACTGGCTTCTAGGCCATTCTCGGTGACTTAGGCACCATGGCTCCTTCCCTTCACTGTCAAGGAGCAAGATACCACCCACTCCAGATTTCCCCACCAGTGTCTCAGGTAAAAATTGAAAATGGGGTGAGCCCAGGTAGAATATATTCAGTATTTAAACTAATTTAAGTTTGAAGGTTTAATTAAGATAGACATATCTTTGAAGTTATCAGCATTAAAGGTAAAACTTTTAGTC